TGTTTTCGACTCACGTTTCCTCAGCGAATAATTCCATTAGAACTCACTGGACTTACTGGAAAGTAATTATCCCGTGTTGGATAATAAAAATATGTTAATTAAACGATTTTATTCTTTCCCGGTATATTTTCATCTGCACTCCCGAAGATTTATGAAATGTATGTCTTGCACTTGTAAAACATATATTATCTTGCACGTGTTGTTCTACCATGACAATGTTGCCGGAGGGAACCCGCCACGTGGTTCCACGATGAAACGGGATGTTGTTCCCCAAGCTTAGAGTCAAAGGAAGAAAAGAGAAAGAGAGAGAGAGAGTTGCCTTTGCCCCGCTTCGCGAGGCCATTGCAGCATCTGGAAGAATAAAGGTTGTGTAAACGGTGTTCCGTGTACACGAGGCACGAAAAAGCGGTTATCGAAATGACATCCGCAGTCCCGGGGAACTCGGGTCGGGAAGAAATAATTCCCCAACGGGCGAAAGTCGGACGATTACTTGGCGTCCGGGAATATATGTCCCTCTTGGAAAAAATGCATCGACCGCATTTTAGATAGATAAGGATTGACGTATTATTGAGCGACCGTCATCACGGTTGACTTCATTTGACGCGGCGCTCGCGAATCACGCGGGCAATGATGCGCGTTACGCAACAAAATGTCACTAACGAATAATATGCGTCAATGATACGGTATCTATAATTAGACCTTTCCACGGGCGCATCGATACTCTCTTACGTGCGCGATTATTCGCGATTCACACCCCACGATATTATTCTCACATCGGGTTATTCTTTCGTCACATCTATTTTTGCGCGTCGTCTGTTTAGCGAACGGAACATCGATAATACATCGTCTGTTATATTTTCCGTTCGTTTCGATTTTTACGATTCACGCGCGCCGGGGGAATCTGCTGCGAGAAGGAAAAATCGACGCCATGGTACGCGTGTTGCTTTAAATTTAGATCTCGCGCAAAGAACGCGACGGATACGACTCACCCCTGGTCCCCGAAAATTTCATTCGCTCCCTCCCCTCTCTTACTCTCTCTCTCTCTTTCTCTCTCTAACTCCTAAAATTATACATATTTGCCTATCTTCTACATTAATTTGAATTTGGTTTGACTTGAGTTCAATTTAAATTTAGATTTAGATTTAGTTTTAATATAAATTTAAACTAATTATATTTATAGCTCAATCTTTTCTTTATATATAAAGTTATTTTTATAGCTCATTTTTGTTACGTCCTTACCATTTTTATTTTTTTCCTTGCTTTTGAATAATTATTTTTGTTCGTGTAATTTTAAAAGCAATAAAATGTATTGTTAATTCTTTCCGACTCTATCATATATTTTATTTGTTCCTTAGAGGGTTTACTCTAAGCTGAAATAAACGTTCTCTCTCTCTCTCTCTCTGGGTACACAGAGCCGACGTCATTGCAGAAACTTTCAGAAATAACCGTCAACGTAAAGCTAAGCGCGTTCGTCCTCTCGCGGGATTTCCACCGCGGGATTCCGCGAAGTCGTTCGCTACGCGGATAACGGGTATTATCGTATGCTGTTATTATTATCTCGATTAACGTCTCCTTTTATAATTTGCCGCTGTCTCTCGCGCACGTCAACGGGGGGTAATCACCTCTCGTTCATGCGAGCGGAACCCGTAGCGACGCGCACCTTTGACACCGTCGGCGATACTCGCGTAGGACATCATCGATTGATTCCTTTAAGGTCACTGACTCGAGGGAGAGAGATCTCTTTAATAGCGGCTTTTGAGAAAAGGAATAAAATGCGCCGGATGACGACACGTTATGAATGGGCTCTGAATGAACTCGGGGCGAGCCGAGGGGTCACTATTAATATATGTGCGTGGTTCTTTTTCTAACAGAAAGTATATCACGTATCGCACTGTGAACTTAGAAGCTCTCTCACGTCGCGTAGGATGACATGACCGCAGATTTATGGTCATCGAGTCGCAGGCGAGTCGAACGACACGTGTTGCTCGATCGCGCACAGTGCTGCTCAATGCCACTCAATGAACCACGACGTCGAATGCGTCGTCGTTGCAGCCGATCGGTTGCGCGTTCTTCAGGTAGTGGCTGCTATCGATCTTTCCGTTCTCCTCCTGCGCTTCCGTTCTCGGTGCTCTCCTCCCGAGTACGACAGACGCTCGTTCTTGTATTCCCCCCGCGTGTCTCGGCGGCACCTGCGATGCATTTGCGTCTTGCATACCATGCGGCGACGCGAGGCAAGGTCTCGAGCGCGCTCGATGCATCGCGATAAACTATCGCATGAATGAAGGAATGGCTGAGCGGATGTGAATCGATACAATGTCGAAGTGCAGTGGTTTGAAGTGCGGGCTTCTACGGTGGCTAAGTTGTACGATTAGGGAGGGGCGGTGAGAACCGATTGCGGACGTCAGTGCGAGCAGAATGTTCGATAATTCAGATGTCGAAGTATCGATACAATGTGTTCAGGCAAACGTGTTGTTAGAATGCGCTACTGCGAAAAATCCTACATAGATCGAAGCGCGCGCCTCGACTTTGCGAAATTCGGATTTCTTGCATTCATATTTACATTCATTTATTTTTCATCTTGTCCTCTTTCATCTGTTATTTTTATCGAATACGAATAAATAATATTGACGTGGAGCTTTGCTAAGCGTCGGGAAAATAGTAGAAAAAATCTCTCCAGCCTGATTTGTAAATTCGGATTTCTTGTATTTTTACATTTCTTGTATTTCTACATTTGTTTTTCATCATATATTTTTACCCGTTATTTTGATTTAATATAATTAATATTGATGTAACATGAAGCTTTACTAGACGTCGGAAATATGTTGGGAAAACCGACCCGCCGTCCTGATTTGTAAATTCGGTTTTTTTGTATTTTTACATTCGTTTGTTTTCCATCATATGTTTATCCATTACTTTTATTTACATATAATATCACTAATATTGACGCAACGTGAAGCTTCACCAGGCGTCGGGAATGTGGTCGGGAAAAATGCCATCGCTTTTGGCAGACGTTCAAAGACTCGCGCTTTTCCCGCCGCGTCGACGACGAAACAATCAGCGTCGCGATATCGGATCGTTAAGCTTCGATAAATACTCGTTCTCCCCTTACGATGCCAAACACGGCATCGTCACTGTGAAATCGCATTAAAGTCGATGCGGATCCGCGCGGGGGGAGGACGGACGCGAGAGAGCGATCGTTTTCGCGATCCTTGTGATAAACGGCGTCTCTCAGTCCCGCATTTCCGCGGCCCGCGTTCATTTGTGCGGACCTTTAAACTATTTGTCACGCCGGGCATATTTTCCCCGCCCGAAATCGTCGGTCGCTGACGCGTGCCGTTTTCTCGCAAAAAAAAATCTCCGCACGTCGAGTGACATCATGCAACTTGATATTTGTGTCACGACTGATTCATGCCATCGGACGCGAGACCAAACGGAGACAGGGGCGATTTGTTAAATAAATAATTCACCGGCGACCTTACCCATACACGCATAGGAAGTACCGGAGCCCCCCACGACCCAATGTCCGCGTTGGATTTACTGGCGCAAACTCGTCGAGAATTATTCCAACATTCCGGGAACTCTCGTCATATATATATCTCGCCGATCCATAGCGCTACTTCGGTTGGCTCGCAAATACAGCTGTACAGCGACGGTTCGTAAGTAATGAGCTCGATGTCTATATCTCCTTTATGCGTGGACGTATAAACTCAATTGTCTACACCCACCGTGAGGTAACCTTCGCGGTCCGTTGACCGTCTTTGTAGTCGCTGGATCTAGTATGCCGCGTCGTCCCCGTTTTCATCAGCGTGATTAATCCGTGACCCCAACTTATATGAAACGTGACCGGCGGGCCCCGTTTAAACCGTTCGTTCCTCGAAGCCGACGCTATTAGCTCACCTATATATCCGTCACGCGCGGCGAAGGGGTGCGTTTTGGGGTTCGCGTTAAACTTTGATTTCAATTTCCCCGGGATTATTGGAGGACTAAGAATATCGAAGTCGGATGCCTCTTCAGCGAATGCGAGGCGCGTCCGACCCGGAATTTTTCCTTTATTACGTTCCGACGATTTCGTCACGGTTGCGCGGACGTTCGAGATCGCCGACGCATCGCGACACAGTTCTTTCTCGCGCGATTAAACGAACGTCATCCCGCGTTTCCGGGAGACGAGTTCCTCTCCGCGAGCGACGCGAGCGTTGCCCCAGTTTCGATTAATCCGCTCGATTTGTTTCCGCGACTCGATGACGCAATTAAGACGAACGGATCTCTCCGCCCACCGAATTATCCGGGAGCCTTGAATAGTTTCTGGAGCGGTCGATCACCTCGCGCCGATAATAATAAAATAGAGCTCGCGCGAGCTCCATCGAAATATACACGTGCGCGCGTGTTTCGGGAACAACGTAATTCAGAGGATGCTATTTCGGCCGTGAGACGGCTTCTTCCTCGTTTAACGGTTTGTCAGAGCGGCTCCGGTCGCTGCAACGACGGCGTCGCCGCGACGGTTTAACAACTGTCGGCGCGCCTCCATTGTCCGACTGCGCCAATTAATGAAACGGTGCTCGGCGAAACGGACAATAAAGGGAAATAAAAATGCAATGAAAGCTTTTATTGGCTATCATTGGATACCATTGGGGATGCGCGCGCTCCTCCGGTTACGAAAACGTTCCATCAGTCCTCGGCTTGAATCTAAACGGACGCGGCAAGAATAACGGGATGATAGCGGCGGCCGCGAATAGCCGGCGTGCGCGCAATTATCAGCCGGTGTCGGGCTCACTGAATATCAACTTTTATTCGATTACAACGACTGTATTTTATTTCATCGCGCGCCGTTAAAAGCTCAACAACTCGCGCGCGCGTGCGGATCCCTCTTCGTTAGCTCGCGTGTCCGTTTCAACGCTCGCGTCGTGATTAACTGCGCGTCACAATTATCACGAGTTCGCTTCGATAGTTGTCACTCGGACAGCGAACACTGACAGAGGGGGTACCTCGTCGACCTGTTGCAGGCGTAACAGCATGGTGTGGTATCAGTGACTGAAGACTACACCCCCGAAAGATGAAGAAGCCCCGCGTCCTCGCGTGCGTCCTGCTCCTGCCTCTGGCGCTGGGTCTCAGCCTGCAGGAGGATGACTTGGTCTTCGATGACGTCGGCGAAGATAATGAGAACGACGCGCCAGCACCGACGGTGAATTATCACGCGTCTTCTCGACTCGATCGGCACATGCTCGAGCCGTCGTTCAGGGACAGCAGGAGGCATCGCTTCGAGAGGCTGTGGGGCGTGCCTGACACTATCGTGCCGGTCGGACATGTTTTCAAGCTGAAAATTCCCCGACAAGCCTTCTCGGGAAACGTGGATTTTTACGAGGTGAGTCACCCGCGACCCGTTGCCTGCGTCCGATTTTGGCACCTAGCCGGCATTTTCCGAACGCCCAGGGGTCCTGAGTTATTGACCAGGTGGATGCCTCGGCGAGAAAAATAAGTCGTCCTTCGATCGAATCTCTTTTTCACGAGTCTCTGGAAGTGCGATTCCCTGAGAGAGATTCTCGCGATTGCAGGCTTGAAAGTGCACAGACACGCGAGAGCTGAAAAGACAGCGTGTTGAAAATTTAATACTCATTGGAGGGTACTCGTGCATACGCGTAAATACGAGACGTATAAAGAAGAAGAAGAGGAATTTTTTTTTCTCAAGCGCGCTCCGTCATTCACGCGAAGCAATTGTCAATTTATTATTCACTGTTTTTTTTACATACTTTAGTATTGCCTATCCAGTAAGCGGGAAATATTAAATCAATCATTTGGAATCATTTTATGTGAATTTTATGAACATATTAATACATTTTATAAACGTTTCTAAACTGTTACTTGATAATATTCCTAAATGTTTAAATCATACTGTTGAAATATATTATTTTTAATATTTAGGTCAAATATTATTAACAATGATATTGTATAAAATATAAGAACTACATATTTGAAAACGTTACGTGTGTTATAAGATATGTATGTAATTGTAATGACGTTGTTTTAATAATTCTTCTAGCTTATTGAATAGTCTATTAGCCAGGTGCTGATGAAAGAAAAATTGTTTCAAGAAACAGAGGAAAATAATAGGGAAATTATTTCGGATAATTAGTTAATGTTTAAAGCGGCTTGAAAACGCATCTCCTTCGCGTGCCTGTCGAACGTCACAGCGCGGTCAAGTATCAGCGCGAAGTCCACTGCCACCGAGTGCTATTGATTTACTTGTCCTCACATCTGTCAGTTTCTTCCCTCTCGAGCCCTGCCGACGTCTCGTTGAATCCATATTTGCGATTCAATTTGCTCCCCGCGTCTCGACGAATCCCACCACCGGAAATCCTTCTTAGGTTGAATGGCCCTAGTCTTCCCTTTGTCCTCAAAATTATTATTCGACCAACGGGACACGTTCCGTCGCCTACGATTCGTATCTACCGTCGCCGCGACCGTGTACGACGTGTCGTAACTCATACCCGAGTCTTATCGCGTTCAACGGCGCTGATAAAAAAAAAAGAAACCTTGCGAATAATTGTCTTCTCCAGAACGACGCGCAAATATAATTTACACGCTGGAAACAACGTTAGGTTCACGAGACGATCGATCACGATAGTCTGCCGCGATGGTTGGCCTGGGACGACGCTGCGTCTACTCTCTCGGGCGTGCCGTCGAAGAAGGACGTGGGCAGTCATCATCTGACCGTGAAGGCCATCGGCAAACACGGCGACACCGCCAAGGATCAATTCGTCGTTCAAGTTGTACCCGAAAATCAGGAGGAACTCAAGCACAAGGACGGAAAGGTGAGAGTTAGTGAGGTAACGTTGACTCCGGAGTGACGCAAACAGCGTGAGAATCGTCGTTAGCCGCGAAAACGCCGCGCTGGCATCATTTCAAGTTTCTTATCCGAGTTGAACAACAGGTCGCGCCGCCTGTTGGATACGTGCCTTCGCCGGCTAATGAATAATATAACTTAAAGATAGGAACTTGGTTGTAGCGACCGCGGCGAAGACAGCATTCGGACGTGTTTGGTGCTTAACGAGAAATATTTCCACTCGTTTCCCTCTCTTTTTCTCTCTCTCTCTCTCTCTCTCTACCCCTATCTCTGTTTTTTCTCTTCTTCTATGAAGCTAATAATATAAGATGAAATAACATCGACGGTGGGTTCTCTGTGCGCGAGTGAACAAAAGTATCCGCATGCCGCACGCTATATTCCCCGGCCCATAATTTAGTCGCGCGCACAGTAAAGCTCGAATCGATGAATTTATAGTGGAATTTATAGCGGTTTCTGTCGCGCGTAGCGCGATATACAAATCCGTCGAAACTGTGTCGATTGCAGTTTGCAATCCGCTAGGTTGCGTTTAAATGTCGTAAAGAAATTACGCCCGCAGACGTTAACTGATTGATGCCAATTGATATTACTGTGAGTGCGCGCAGCGGCATACGCGGAATATCTGTGTGTGAAATCTGTACGTGTGTGTGTGTGTGTGTGTGCGTGCGTGCGTGTCTTTGAAATTTTGCGTTACGCTGGTAGGCGTGCAAATAAAAATGCGGTTACTGGAAATAGGACGATTCTAATTATAGACGCACTGCGACGACGACGAGGAGCAAACTCTCCTCACTATTTTGCTGGACGCGCGGCTGGAGCGGCTGTCTCCCCGAGTCAAGGTGGACGCCATCGAAAACCTCGCGGGATTTCTGGGAATGCACACGGTATCGTTTTTTGATCGTGCGATTTGTACAGCACGTGCGCGGTAAAACCGATAGCAGTGGTAATTCTTATTGCGATCGGAGCGATCGAATTTCCTCGACTCGCGCTCCGTTCGATGGAATTTCTGTTATTTCCCCCCAAGCGTGAGTTCACGTTACCCTGGCATTTACTTCTTTCGTGCTCCGCAGAACGCCTTTTCGATGCATTCTCAAAGCAAGTATGACAATATGCCGTTGGAGTCTTCCATCATTCTGGGCGGGCCTGGAAACGTGCCGCATCGTCGGGAGAATTATTTCACCAGCATCCAGTGGCAGGTAGGATTCGAAACCACTTATCTACGCTTGGCTCCGTCTTTGATGTTCACTTATCGTGTCGATACACTCGCACGAGACGCCGTTAGGAATTCTCACGGCGTATCGATAAACTAACATAACTTCCTATGCGCGCATTGTTCCCGCAGGTCGGCTGCGACGGTCACGTGTGGAGGCATCAGACGGAATTGATAAAACAATTGCGGGAGCAAGCGAAGGACGGTACTTTGGCGGAAGTTCTGCAATTGCCCGTGATACTGTGGCGGGTTAAGACCGACTCGAGCTCTTTCCTGAGGAACAGAAGAGAGGCTGGTTCCGGCGACTACGATAACCCGGACGATTACGACGGCTACGACGATGATTACGATGGCGATTACGAGGACGGCGGTGACGAGAGAGAAGACGATAACGAGGACCCGCAGGTACAGCCGACCTATGTGCCGGATTTCAGCGATGCAAGGGGAAACACCGTGCCGGGACATCCGCACCGGCATCATCACGGCGAGGAAACGATCGATTGGAACGTAAGTTGCTGTGCATTTCTTTTAAGGAGGTTCGAACGTTTGACCAAATAAACTAAATAATTAAGATAAATCTATTATATATATATATATATATATCATGTGTATATACATGTATATACACATGAGCATATAATTAAACATTTATATACTTCTTTCTACCCTCTGTGCATTTCTATTAGATCAACTGATATGTAAATATAATATTGACAAGAGAAATGAAAAATATTGTCGTATTTATAAATATTGTAAATATTGTAATACAGCATACCGGAAATACGGCATTAGCGAATGAACTTTAATAGTTCCGCGCAAGAAAGCGCGATCGCGGGGTCAAATATCTTTATCTCCTTCATCGTGTATTTCTTGTCCTTCTTTCTCATCAGGGCGAAGATACTGACGAGGAGGATTTAATGCCAAGACTGAGGCAGTCCGAGTTGGAAAGCGGTGCGGTAAATAGAACAAGCAGCACTACGCCTACGGTAAGTGTCTTCGTGGAATCGAGCCGTTGCGTGATTCCTCTCGTTGAATTGACGAGTTGATATTCGGGATACAAGCTGCCTTACCGGCTTTCGTTGAAATTCTCATTTCTGTGCTCCTCACTCGCCATGCCATCGCTTGAGGGGGAATCGTTGCGCTTTTAAAGAGTCTAGAATAGCTATTTGGGTACTGCGTATTTATTGCTGGCCTATTTTCGTGTTGACGAACTGTATGTCACCCATCCATCCGTCCGTCCGTCCGTCCGTCCGCCCGCCCGTGCTGCGCGGATTGTTCTGAAAGCGGTCGCTTACATAGATTGCGTCTCCGTATAGATCTGTGCCTTTCCGTTCGCCGAGAGAGACGGAAGTTCCGCAAAACTGATATACGTTCTTTATTGTTGTGTACATCTTCTACAGAAAACGATACCTCCGAAAGAAACGAAAGAAATGTAACTAACCCACCGTCTTTTCGTGCCATACATCGCATCTACTAACGATTTCGCAGACAACAACCACTGAACTTACATCATCACCATCGACAACTACAACCACCACCACCACCTCCACGCCGACTACTACTACTACTACTACTACTACTACAACTACCACCCAAGCCGCGCCAACGACCGTTACTAGTACTAGTACTGGCAACACAACGATTACCACATCAGCAGATATAACGAAGGCTAGCGTCTCCACTGTAGCTCCATCAATCGAGTCTCCGAGATCGGAAGACACGGAGGAGCCGTCGACGGAGAAAACGAAACACGTGGAGCTCGAGCCCGTTACCGTTTTACCGACTGTCCCTTCAGACGTCACCACGACTCCTCTCCCTATAACCACCCAGCCCTTTAGCACACCTGGATCGCAGACTAGCGTTTTCGACCGAGTAGAGACCGAGATCGCCACCGGTATTAATAACGTTACGACCGAAGAGGTAATGCTTCAATGCTTTGCGCTTTCCTCCATTTGTATGATAGTTCACGCCGCTCTTCTCGTGCGCATATCGTGTCGATTCGTCGAACTGTCGCTTTGCTGAGATCAAATTGTTTATCGTCTCGATGAGAGCGCTATAATCGTTGTTGACGGTGCGGCCGATAGCGACGCGGCTTCAATTTTCACTGTATTTATGCAAATCTTTCTCTCTTTCTTTCTTTCTCTGTCACACGGAAAACGATTTTCCTCGACACGGTGATCGTTCTGCGTTCTTTGACACGCGATATTTCCTCGCCTCTAGCCGACGGAACAAACTACGATTACCACGAGAGAATGGACCACTACGTCAACAACAACGACGCCCGTTGTTGCGAACGTCACCGGTGCCACCGCCTCTCACACCACCATCACCACCACCACCACCACGATGACTCCATCCGTGGCTATAACGAACGCTACGAGCGCTACAACTACAACTGTGATACCGCCAACGACGGAGCTTCGCACGACGCCGGCCGCGACGTCGTCTATTACCAACGCTACTACTACCAGTACGACTGTTACTACTACCACTAGTACTACTACTACAACTACCGCGGCGCCTACAACTACCACCCCGACCACGACCACGGTTCGGGTTACCACGGAAAGTATCGAGTATGGAAACTTCAACTTCCCGCCGAGGCGCGACAGGATATTAAAGAAGATACCGGTAACTGCTGGAAAACCATTGAGCTACGTCATACCAGCTAATACCTTCAGCGACATCGAGGACGGAGACACGAGGAACTTAAAATTGAACCTGTACTGGCAAGGTGTGCCGCTCAAACCGACCCATTGGCTCCAGTTCAATCGCCACACGCAGGAAGTTTACGGACTGTAAGTTTGCACAATATTCTTTTATTTATCGTTTATTTTTCGAGGGATAAATGGATCTCTTATCGAATACTTGCGAAATAATTGACTGGTCGTGATTGGGCATTGACTATTCTGAGTTATTAGCACGGATTAGTTGCAATGTTTCGGGTAGGTTCTTGAGAAAAAGTTCATCTTTTACTGTTTCCTGCTATAGGACACTTTATGATAGATTTGGCGTAATGAATCAACTTTGGATGTCAGCTAATGATTTGTCCGAAACAACAGATTTTTGCAATATATCTTGCGAATTTCTCAGGGTTAAATTAACAAAATATTTACCTTGAGATAATTTTTTTCTCTTTTTTTCTCTCTTTTTGTGTATGCGATGCATTACAAATGTTACAATGTATTTTCTGCTCTAAAAGGAATATTCAATTTTCCATTTATTGAATAAATAATAATAATAATAACAGGCCTCTGGAGAACGATATATCCACTTGGAATTACGAACTAGTTGCCACGGACCGAGAAGGCGCCAACGTCACCGACCATCTCGACATTCACGTGCAGCAGCACAAACTGAGCCGTAGCGTGAATCATGAATTTAGTATTTACCTGAGGATCGATAAACGAAACGAATTCCCCACAGATGTCGACTGGGAGTTCAAGGTACGTGCTGTTATTCTCGTCGTCTCTCTTGACACTGATTTCTAATCTCCGTCTCGTTGCAGGTGATACGTAGCTTGGCTGAACTTTACGGTGACAACGACACGCGACATATTACGGTGCGGAACGTCGACTTCAACACGCCGGATCACGAACAGCAAGCCATTTTCACGTGGACTAACGATAGTCTTCCGAGGAGCAGCGAGTGTCCGAGGGAACATATCAACAAATTATTACGCGTAAGTACGACTGTATTATATTCTACAAGATGCAGACTCTAAGGAACGACGTGTGTATGCCACCAGGTGCTCGTCGACAGCAACAGTGACCCGTCGTCTTCTCTGAGAGCGGTTCTCGCGCCGGAAATCAGAGTCAAGCGTGTCGTGTATCAAGGTATCGGGCAGTGCGAGGATATGAAGCGTCCTGAGGTGCCGCGAGTCTCTACCGAAGAGCCGAAGGTTAATTACCCGCCAGTACCGAGGAACCAAGTGGATCATGTGAATGCAACAGTCGGACAGTTGCTCGTGTTCAAAGTGCCAGAGGTACGCGTCTCGTTACTTCCTGTCGTCTCTGTAGACACAAGGCATTACCTGGTCGGCTTTGCAGGACACCTTCTTTGATGCCGAGGATGGGTCGTCGCGAAACATGAAGATGTCACTTTTGACAATCGATCGGGTGCCTATCCCGCCCCACGAGTGGCTGCAGTTCGACAGCAAGAATCAGGAATTCTACGGTGTGCCGATGCGCGGCGATGTTGGTCGTAAGGAATACCAATTGGTCGTTACCGACAAAGAAGGTGAGAACACAAGGCACTGTTTATTGAAATTAGCAATATATTTTTGACAATAGTTTAATTGCGATTATGGAAAAAAATTGCAGAAAAATAGAAAAAAAAACACTTCTCATTTTTCGCGGAAAAAACCGGTATTTCTATTATTTAAAAAAACTTGAAACTGTCCGAGAATTTATTTATGCTTGAAAAAATCAAGGAATTTCATTGGAAATCGGAATGTTAAGTGGATTTTTTTGTCTGTAAGCTATATCATCGTGTTGTTCATAGATAAATATTGTGTGGTTGACTGAATTTTATTTAATAATATTCTCTTCATTAAGAATCATGATAAAAATAGATTAGAATTTTCTGCCTTGATTTTTAATTAGTTTTAATTTTAATTAATGATGAATAGCACTATATAAATCATAGGCGCGAACTTATTAACATTTTTTGTATGTATATATTTAAGGTTGTTACGTTTAATATTTAAATATTAGCACTTTCTTTATGTTTATAAAATATTATATAAACTTTTATGAATGGAAAATATTATAAAAACTTTGCACAATAAATACATATTCATTTGTAAGATATATTTAAAAATACTTTCACTTTATCCGAAATTGTTAACAAATTGATTAGAAAATCAGGCAATTTTTGGAGGTATAAGTATCAAGTAGGAATACCTTGAAAATTGAAAAAAAAAACCGCGGAAAAATCCGGTTTTTCCGAGCTTTTAAAATTATAGATGACATTCAATGAGCGAACATTTTATCGTTTTTTAACACTTTAACATTTTTATTTTATCATTGTCCAGGTTCCAGCGCCACGGATGGGCTGGTCGTCGTGGTTAATCCGGCGCCTCACATGGGGCACACGGTAGAATTTTCCATGACGCTGGATATACCGTACGACTCGTTCGCGCACTCCGCGCTCCAAAAGCGCAATTTCATCGAGAAGTTGCGAGATCTCTACGGAGACAAAGACACGAGCGCCATTTCCTTGTACAGCATTTCGAACGGCAGTACGGTTATTACGTGGCACAACAGAACTCTGCCCACGTCATATTGCGCTCACGACGAGGTCAACAGGTTGCGGTCTGTGCTCGTGAAGAGCGACAACGACCGACGCTCGGTAACGGACGAGGTGTTGGATGTGATGGGTCTGAAGTTCCCGGTGAAGCAGATCACGGTGATCCCGATGGGGATCTGCCTCGGCGAATTAACGGGCGTTCACTCGCCGGATAGCTACGTGCCGCCGGTGGACGATTCCACCTCCGTCGGTGCTTTCCACGATGATTACCTCTTCACTTTTGTCTTGCCGGCGATCATTATCTCCATCATGCTCATCGGTGCGGGAATTATCGCGTGTGTGTTGTACAAACGAAGACGCAGCGGAAAGATGAGCGTCAGCGAAAAGGATGAGGAACGGCAGAGTTTCCGCAGCAAGGGGATTCCCGTGATATTCCAAGATGAGCTCGACGAAAAACCAGATCCCGGTGAGAGACCATCGCGTTGATAGAGACATTCAGGGTTGCCGCAGACCTGAAAAGGTCGGGAAAAATCATTGAAGTTAAAATTAGCCAGGGAAAATCTGGGAAAGTCCGGAAAAGATATAAAAGAGTCTGGAATTTTGAACAATTCCCTTAAATACTCTTATTCGAAAGAGTATTTATAAAAATTTATTAATATTATTTAGATTAAGCTACCTTTTCTGCAACGCTTCTGAACGTCAAAATTTAAAATCACATATTGGTCGTGAAAAATTCTTCACTATCATTCCTGGAAAACGTAGAAAAGTCGGGGAATTTAAAAATTCATTTTCTGTGGCAACCCTGGACAGTGGATATTGGTCTTCTTTTTCACAATATCAACCTCTTCTGACATGTTTAGGGAACAAATCGCCCGTCATATTGAAAGAAGAGAAGCCACCTCTTCCGCCACCGGAGTATCAGAAGGCCGAAGACGGGGCCGACGTGCCGATGTTGTCGAAGGAAAGCTCCGAGGAACCGTACCAGCCGCCGCCGCCGTTCACCGCGAGTCGCGACACCAATCGGCAAAATCGCCCGAAACCGACCCCAACGTACAGAAAACCGCCCCCGTATGTGCCTCCCTAACAAAATACGGTGCACTCGCCTACGCGCAAATATATGCTAGCAATGCTCGGAGACTCACCGATACACATGCAAAACCAAAACAGTTATAAAAAGCAATCTCATATTGGCGACGACGATGACGTCGACGATGATCGTGGGGCTCTGAACGTTTATAGCGATGTTTGAGGGACTTCCATTCACCATCCGGTATGACAGTGTGTACCGCTCGCGAGACGTGAATGGAAATTGCTCCTCTCTGCGCGAACTCCGGACCCGCACGTTTTTACTTATTTTATATGTAACGGCAACGGCAACGTCACACACACATACACACATGCATACACACATACAGCATCGATTTTTACGGTAATCGTTCGAAAGGACCCCCGCAGTTTCGATATTCGATCTAACATGCACTCTACACATCTCTCTCGACTGTCTGTTTCACGGGGAAAAAAAGGATTTTCTAGGAAGTATGTGGGATTAATGAATCACGTGTTGCCTTTCGTAAAAAAAAGAATTCAATTGTAGGGAAGGATCCACGTCGAACTTCGATACGCGAATTTAGTTTAGATCGTTGTAGAACCGAACATATGCGGTAGGGTAAACATATTTTATTCGACATGGTGGCATTCGAGACAGCAACGATACTCACAAATATTTCAACAATCAGTGCCATTTATTAAGCAATAAGGGTATCCGACTGTGAATAACACAGCATGTACTGTAATTATACGGTTCTACGGATTTACTGCAATTACTGTTACAGAGCCTCCGGGTATCAGGAACGACGGACTTAACGAAATACAACGTGTATAACACTGCCAGAACGACAAACGCACGATATAACGTCGCGAAGCGAGCCAGTTTCCGGGTATACATACATATTATATATATATATCCGATCTCTCTCCCAGAACCCTCCATTTTTTAGAATAGTTCTTGGCGAACTGAACGAAACGGAATTATCGAGAGTCGCTCTCCTCGCGAATGAACGAACGAACTAGCTCACTTGGCGATCGCTATTACTTAAGGAGAAAAATATCGGAGAGAACTGAAATGTTTTTTGAGACATAATTTAAAGGAACGATTACATGCAATGCCATTGCAAAGTGACAGCAAATGCTTCCATTGGCACGGTAGGCCATGCAGATAAGAAAAAAAACTATCGATAATATATATATATACAAATATAAATATATATATATATATATAAATATGTATATTACCTATTTGCCGTTCGATAGATCACAGTCTGCAGTTACTTAGGACAGCGTAATTTAAATACTGCCAGACCAACGTTATTAGCGTTTATTTCTTTTTCTCTTTTTTTTTTTTCCGTACACACACTGCAAACGAGGGAAGGAGAGCTCCCGACTTCTTCCGTTCGTTTCACGCACAATTATTCTCATCGTTGACGCATTGCGACCTTTCTGATTTTGCGATGAAAAATTTTTTGGTTTTCTCACGAACTTGCATCGTTTCACGCGAACGAGTTAGCATCGAAAGGTTAACTCAGGAAGAAAAAAACAAACAAGAAAGAAACACACTGATGCGCACGTACATAAGAAGGACGAGACTATTTAATTTAGATTTTACATAGTTACCAAGCCAAAAAATAATTAATATTTAAAAAGAGGGCGTGGTGAGGGTAAGGTTAATAAGAACGTGTTTTTAACCGCGAAAAACGTGGCTCGCACTCTTTGAGGGCGCATTTTTATAATGTTTTTTGTAATTTTTTAACCGCTCTAACGCGACACATTCATCGTTTGTATGTCCGGTGCGCGAAAGAGTGCGGGGTATGGTACGTATGCAGCCGTTTCTTCAATACCTCGATAGTTTCCTGATATTTTTGAAAGGAAATACGAGAAACGAAATAAAAAAAAAAAAGAGAGGAAGGAGGAGGAGGAGGAGGAAGAGGAAAAAGAAGAAGAACTTCGCGCGTGTCCCGAATTCGGCGACTCCCTCCGTCGGCCACGTCGGCGAGCGGATCGGCGAGTTTGCGGATGCGCATCTATACGTGGTGTGAATGCTGATGATCAATATAGTATGCAAGAGCGGAGAATGTTTCGTATGCAAGCTAAATTACGATACATCTAATATATTACTATTAATTCATGTCTTTGTAAACGTAGGTGATTTAAGTAATATGCCGTGACAATTGAATACTTTTAAATATCGCTCGTATCTTGTTTATCGCAGAGTTATATGAAGGGAGGAAGGACGCAATTGTCACTCGTACTCGCGTATCACTTCATGACGGTTCCTGTTACGCACGGACCGGTAGATAAGTACGTACGTTTTATTACTATTATTATTATTATTTTTATAACATACGAATAAAGAGCTTCTGTGTGTTGAATTCGGTTGAATATACCTGAATATGACGATCTGTATGTACTGTCGCGAGGAGGGATTATTTTGCAATTGCGATATCCCTGTTGCGCGCGATCCTCCGTGAACGTATGTACTGACGTTAGATCCAATGAATAATCGCGTATGGTCGCGTAAATTTTTGCCAAAAATCAAAACTTATTACATTCACCATCGACACTCTTGTCACATTCGCTGAGATCCCTGTTTATTATTTCAGCCAAGATCCCCACAAAGTAATAATGCGACGACTTCGGATCGAGGCCGAGGTAATGGTATCATTACACGATAGCTCAGTGCTCGCGAATTAGCGGCTCGGATTGGACAGTTTGGTACGACGCGTGAAACTTTTACGAAGAGCTTTATATTCCGTCTGTGATCTGCGGTAAACAAGCACAGCCTCTCTCATATCATGCTTCTAATCATATCATTGCTCCACGCGTATCCTTCAATAAGCGCTGCAGTTGTGTTTACTGTGAAAATGATAATGTATGATAAGCATGTACGATAATTTATAAGCTTAGGGACAACGTGGAGGAGTTACACCTCAATGAAAAGATGAGTTTCACAAAGAACATATTGCATAAGCAGCGACTATTCTGGCCTGTGTGATTCGAATGGATCGAAAGTATTTTATAACTGTGTAAAAAGGGGGACGGCAAAATGTGCACTAACGCGACCACCGTGGCTTATCGTATATTCGGCCGCTTTCTGAGAGATCGGGCTAAACGGCAGGCGCGAAGTAAAAAGTTCCATTGCAGCAAAACAGGTGTGGGAGGGAGGGGGGAACGAGAAAGAGGGAGAAGAGCTATCTCTAGCCCGTACGAAGAAATACGTTGTATACATAGCTACATATACCTAAGAATAACGTATTGTGACTGGGAATTTTCAGATTATTTTTATTCGCTATAGAGAGCTTCGATATATATACACACACGTATATCGAGTAAAACGTTTGCGTTGGCGCGACACGCGAGGACGGTGTTTTACGAGCGGCAAACGTCGTTTTCGTACGTCGCGTTCCATCGCCGGAATGACGGTGAGCCGTCGACCACTTATTCTTTAAGTTCGCTAAACAACATATCTCGTAAGCGAGAGAGAGAGAGAGAGGGAGGGAGAGGGAGAAAAAGGAAGAAATCGACGATATCGGACGAGCGTGTACGTTTCAAGATAGATCGCGCGTCTGTGTGCGATTATCTTGGCAGCGCATAGAACGGTGTCGTAAGAATAAATGGGAAGAAAAAGTATCGAATTAATAATATACATATACAAATATCTCTACGATAAGTACTATATACTAAACACGTGTAAAGTTAAGAGTTAATAAAATCATTTTAGGGTACTCCCTGCGCCTCGGATTGATCCTTACTCCCCGTATCGTTTACATGTCTCACCGTCATCTTCGAGGTTCGCGAGCGAGTAATGGGTTCGTTATACGTGAGACCGCATCGAACATTTGTGCAAACGATTACGATCACGCGATTGATACTTCATTCCATCGAATCGCGCGTTGAGATCACGTGTATTCGCCTGCCTATTAATAATATTTGATATTATTTTTTTTCGACCCATTCGATACCTTTTCTTGGACGTTTCTTGACAATATTTCTCTCTACGATAATCGCTGTGCTCGTGTGATACATGTTTCGCAGTTATTTATTTACAGTTACGGAACTTTTATATTTAACATCTCGAGAAATCTTATTGTAGTTTGTGCGAAATTCATCCGATTAAAAGGAACTCACACGTACGAGCGATGAGGTACTCTACGGATTACCTGGGATTGCGTGGGACGTGATGTAACCAAATATTCCAATTCTCTCGGTTATGTAAGATTTTCAAGACCAGGTACTCCACAATGCGATTTTCTATTCGTCTCACGATAAGCACTCCGATCAACGACATGCAAAATAGTTTACGCTGCGGAATTGCACCATTCAGATGAATAAATACATTTCTTATTGTCTCGTGGTTTAGGCAAGGCTACGATACGTATATCGTAAGAAAAAAGAGAGAAAAGTGACGGTGAGACGGCATTGTTTAAATGGCATTTTGATAAATGCTCTATGTTCTTTATTTGCATGAGAATTTGAACAGCTGGTCACGGAGATGGATTATCATTTTGCGCAACGACCTACATACCTATTTCTCGAGTATTACGCACCATTCTCTTCTGCAATTTAAATTTCTATGTACGAAGAAAAATTGGTAATGGCGTAAACACAAACACGATTTAAAAAAGTTGAGGATATGTCAACCCTCGACTGTTACATTTATCTATTTTTTTCTGCCATTTCACTGAACGTTTCTATGCTTATAATTAATGCGAAGAATTGCGTCTCATGATAATCCCTTATGCTCGACCGGAAGAAATTCGTCACGATTCACCGCGATTCAAGGATCGATCGAAGCGCCAAGATAAACGAATGTTGTTGACGCATCTCGACTAATGCACGTTTCAAGGCGTGTAGTGAAAAGAGACGTATTAACGTCTTAGCGCGAGATTCGCCGGAATATCTAATTTTTATTACAGGTGGTAGATCCCTTTATCGCCGTAATAAAGACGAAATTGTGACTCTACGACATGTAGCACGTTTCGCGACAAATTTAATCGCCCCAAGGTTACGTTATCTCCCAGTGATAAAAAGAAATGGCATATGCTTCTTCATCGATGAATCTTCAGTGATTGAATCACTCATCGCTAACACAAACATGAAACCCGGAGATAAGTGCTTTTCTCATCTTCATCTGATGAAAGGAATCTTATCTCGATCTCGTTTAGCAACGAGAAATCGTTAGCTACACATTTCTCCGGTATAATCAACTACAAATACCGATGTAACGACAATCGATATTTTTTTATAGTTGATATTGCATCGATATTTTTTTATAGTTGATATCGCATCGATGCGCTTATTTTTCCGTGATAAGAATCATTTCGTAATAAAATCCCGGAGGATACGCCTTTTCTCAGATAGAGAGAAACACTGAACATAGTTTGTAAGCATCTAATGTATGATTTGCGATGCCATTGCAACAGCACAACATGTTAAAAATATGCTTGGTCTAAGAAATACTCATTGATCACGCCACAATTTTAATCAAAGTATTGATTCCTTATTACTATAATAATTCTGCATTAATTACGTTCTCTTTCAGGCAAAGTAAGTAGCAATATTTATGACATCAGAATATTGCTGCAATATTATTGCAATTTTCATGGCATCGAACGATCTTTTATGAGGTGAATGTCCCAATTAGTGGCAATGTAATTTTATCATGAAAATAAATCAATAAATTAGTAATATATGCGAGTTAAGTACATAAAATTTATTTCGCTCGAAAATTTGAACATTTGCGGTTCTGGGCGTATTATATTTTTAAGTTGCTATGATAAGATTTAAATTAATTTATAATGTAACATCAAAAGTGACAGAAGTACCATTTTAATGACTTATAACCTTGGTTTTGACCCAATTTGTAAATATTTTTAATCTTTCCTCGATTTTGACAGAACGATTTCAATTGCTTGAGAATAACTACAAAAATATATTAGAAAGTAATTATAAAAAAGTGTTAAGTAAATGAAACTGTCGCCATTAGCAGCACGGTTATACTTATAATATTTACTTTATAACTTTTCTAATTTTATTTAACATTTGTTATAACGGATAATATATAAAATTTCGAGTAAAAATATATTTTTTAAGATTTATATGGAGATATATTATGACTTATTAAAAAAAAAAGATGTGATTGTCACAAATTGGGACACCGTTATTAATAGAGACATTCATCTTATACTGACAAAATGCTTGTTGCATGAAAACACATCTTAATATATTTATGTTAAATCATGATGCAAGCAATATATATGTACCGAAATATATCCATCTGAGTTCGTAGAAGTGAAGGAAATGCGAATGTAACAGCACATATATTCCATCTTTTCGTTCTTTCACATATTTTCCCTTTTGATACGTGCTAATTACTTATGATCCGATTAATATTTAAAGATACCGCAGGAACATATACGAAAGCGACGTAACTTATCGATCATCGATCCTCCGTCCCCGCAGCTCGCACGTGCATCACTACGGACGCGCGCGCGCACGAGCGCGCATGGCGGGGACGCGCACGTGTAAATATTTACCGGCGCATGCGTGACTAGTTCGTCCGGAGGGTCACGTGACCGCGCGCGGTATAAAACGATGCCGATGCGCCGGCCGGTATTACAACCGTAGAAAACTTCCACAGGAGTGGACACGACGCGGCCGTTTGTCGACCTCGCGGGAAAAGAAATACGACGACGAGAAAAGGCAGCCGCGTCGGGAAAAGTCGTCGCGTTAACGTTATCGGTCGGGTGACGCTCCGACGTTTATAAATTATCGAGTCTCCGGGACAATTGCCTGCCGGGAGAGCGCGCGCTCCTGCGTCCTGAAGTTGGCAGAAAATCGCAGCAGCGATTAATCTCGGTCCGCCATCGTCGGCGAAGACTCCCGATCAAATCGCGCCATTGGTGCGACCGTTGGCGGCGAACTGGAGACATCCTCTCGACGACGCACCGTAGCGACCGGCGATCGTGGAGCGCCAGTGAGAGTTCATTCGTCCCGAAACACGTGCGGCGCGGGCAGGCAAGACGAGCGGGTGCAAACTCTACTCGGATCTCAACTTCGCGGACCTCAACTTCTCATAGTTCGCCCGTGACCCCCGCTGTCGGCGATGGACGCCAAGAACGAGTGGGACTACTCCATCGAGAAAGGTGAGTGCACGGTGGTGTGTCCTTCGAAAGCGCGCGTTCATCGATCGATCTCGATCTCACGCGCGACCCGAAAATTTTCGTTGTATTTCGTCATATGATTCACATTATTATGTGACAGGTTACTTATGCTTACAGTCTTGAAATTTCGGAGAAGAAACTGCCCTTTTCCCCTACTTTTCCGCGGATTTCTCCGGTTTCCGTACAAAAATTCGTTTAGAAAAATTCACGTGTGTGCTCGATTAAAATCTTCTTTCCTCGTAAAGAAGATAAGAAACCAAACAAATTTGCAGGAAGATTGGGAAAACAGACTAGTTTTTTTCCTTTGAAAGTATACCTAAAACGGCCAATTTGTCGTGACATTGAGGTTATAAAAATTCAATAGTTGTACGTAAAAGAGAGAGGGAGAGAAAGAAAGATAGCATTATTTATTACGCGTTTTGGGAAAATTTCGCTTAAGTGCAACTTTGAAATAATACAAAATTCAAATTGAGATATTATCTTTACAAGAATAAGGCTTACAAATGTAATGCGTATAGAGCAACCATTAGTTTGAATTACGAATATTGTAGTTTAAGTTAAGATAATCAATCGAAATAGAAATAGAAAGAGAGAGAGAGAGAGAGAGAGAGAAATAAATAAAAACGTTTATTTTCCTTTGCACTTTAAGAGTGTTTGACAAATTTAAAAAATATACATATATTTATAAAAAAAGTTGAAAATAAAAAAAAACAAATAAGAAATAAAAATAAATATATATCATAATATATGTGTGTGTATGTGTGTATATAATGTACATAAGAGTATGATAAAAGAAAGAGCAGGTCAGAATTTTTGAAAGCACATCTGGGATCTGTGCTTCCTCCTTTAGAGAGAGAGAGAGAGAGAGAGAGAGAGAGAAAGAGAGAGAGAATATGACGTAGAAATGATAAAATGCAATAACAGGAATCGCAAGGAAAGTCCTCGTGGGAGAGTTTTCGAGGAAAACGCACGAGGATTTAATTATCCTTCAGCGATTGATTCTCTCGCATTATTACGCTATCGTTCGATTTTCCTGTAAGTCGCGCAAGTAGTTAGCTCGGCGGTTCCAGCCTCGCGTATGTCGCGTCTAATGAGTACACATCGAAATTATTGATTGTCCACTTTATCACGTGCATCCGTGATCATCATCCAATATGTGTACACATACCGGGACCGTATTTCTCTACTTAATATTACAATCACTATTACGCAGCCGCCGCGCTGGGCGTACCTCGTTTACAGTTTGAAATTAACTACGACGAACGCATACATGCATACGCGATAACTCCTATCGGCCGGAGTTAATTGAATCGGTCGTCATATAAGAGGCGGTAAACTTACGTTATCAAAAGTCAGTGGCTTCCTTTTTCCGAGAGTTTATCGTATGGTAAAAATAACGCAGAATTCGAATTCAGATTTACGCGTTTCAATCGTAAGAATCTTCACGGGAATCGAAGAAAATGTCTAACAAATTAGAAAAAGGAGCGTGTAATTTTCACACGAAGACAAAGATTTCTCCCTTGTCGTTATAGACTGTTTTCTTTCTTTTCTTTTCCTTTCTCCCTCTTTTTCTTTCCTCGTCTACCAGTTACAGCAAAGAGTCGGACAAAAAATACGTCAGCCTTTTCATTTCGTCGCAACGCCCCGCGTTTTCTTAGGGGCTCCGTCAAATAGGACAACAATAACGAAACGTATTGGCCGCACGTGTAAACCTTCGTTATTCCTTTTCGTCATTCTCCGAGTTTCCCCTTTCTTCTTTCTTACTTTTTTTTATTAAAGTCGAGCGGAAACTTTGTTTTCAACTTTAATAATCTCGTGATATCAGCTTGTTTTCTCTCGAGTCTTTTTATCGACCCTATCGTCGACGTTAACTTTACAATTAATAACAATTCGTATCTCGTCGGGAAATCTCGCACGCGCTTTTACGTAAGAATTTGCGCGCAAAAACACCCGAAGAATTATCTGTACGTGAATATCATCGTTATTTTTTGCAACGTGTTCGCGATTATCAAGTTTGATTCGCGTACTCCGCTATAATGCCCGCCCGTTGTCGATTTTATTAATTATTAATTAATTCGTCCACGAATGGATCTCAAGTCGAAATTCTGGTCGCTTAAACCTTTGGTTCTATAACATATCAGGAGTTAAGATAACAAAATAGGTTCAATTTCAATTCTAATAATACATTGAGAGAATTGAAGATTCAAGAGAGAATTTAAAAAGTCAATGTTGTCAAAGTAGGTTTTTATTAGTCCATAGACCGTCTAAGTAGGCGTATAAACTATTCTTATGGACATCGGAGAAGTATCAAAATCGGAATCCTGAGTCGAAATTTTAGTTCTACATTAAGTCTTTGAATGGAGAAAACGGAAAGAACTTTCCATTTGTAGCGTCAAAAGAGCACTAATAATGATCCTTTGATGCTACAAAGAGGATTTAGACCTCCCGGGAAGAAATTGTAAATTTTACATTAAGTCTTCAAATGGAGAGAACGGAAATAACTTCTCGAACAATAAGATAAAAATTATTTATTTCTTTTTTATTATCTTAATCACACTCTTAAGGTATCGTCAATGATTTTGTCGGAAACATTCTTAATCATGTTTAATCGATTGAATTTATATGTATTTGTAGTATCAAAGTGAGCACAATAGAAGACCATTAAAGACTTAATGCAGAACTGAAATTTCGACTGGAGGATCGCGGGGTAGACGGCTGTTCGCGGACGCGAAAAGCTCAAACGAGAGCTGTCACGTCGCGTACTTTTGCCCAGCCTCATTTGTCGCTCGCCCATTTTCGTCGGCTCGGTTTCCGGATGGCACCGGAGGCGCTCACTGACCCGGGGCCATTGTCTTCGGCCGCGAATGCAGGGCGAGCGGGCCGTGCCAAGCGTACGGGGGTGCTTTCACAGCCTTCGTGGAACACGGGGCACGACTCCGTGGGTAAATGAAAATCAATAGTTTTCTTCCGTACTCTAGGCCGATGCACCTGTTCCCGCGGAAAGTACAGGCGCGCACCGGTACACCGACACGGACGGTCGCACACACGCATGGCCGTGCACGTGCAAGCGGTCACGCATACAGAGGCGGGGGGTCGCAGACCCAGTTTCACTTTGTTCCGCCGGGTTGCCGTGCATGCCCCCGAAACGCCCTTAATCTCGAGTCAATTTGTCAGCGCTATCTTTCAGCCGATTGCGAGCGACGGCCGCGCGCGCGCGCCGATTGCGAATCGCATGCATCCTTGGGAGCGGGATTCTTGCCAAAATCGCAGATAGAGAGAGAGAGAGAGAGAGGTAGACCTCGTAAAGCGATGATTAAGTCATTTGGCGGCTAAGCGGGTGGCTTGGCCGCGGCTGGGAAAGGCTCGGTGCTTGAAATTGATCGATGTATTTGGCCGTCATAAATTATTTCAGAGAATCCACCGTTTCCACGATGCCTCTCGTGTAATAGCGGGTTGCCGTTCCGCGACTCGAGCGGGATTGTTTTGCCGAGGATTTATCTCGTTTGCGGTTTCGCGAAGATCGAAGAATCTCGGGCGACCGGGATCGATCGCCGATAACGCTCCGCGAAATCGCTCTTCCGACCAATTTTCACGCGATATTCTCTCTGTTAGGTATGATGTAATATGATTAGTATTATTACCGGTATGTCGAAATGACTTGCGAGATCGCCTGAGCTGAAATTTTAGTTTCACATTAAATCTTTAAAGGTCTTTCATCGTGCTCTTTTGATGCTACAAGTGAGAGGTCATTTCTCCAATTGAGAATTTAACGTGGAACTAAGTAGGCTTAATATAGGATCCAAATTTCGATTCGGTCGAGGTAGAGGCTCTTGCAAGAGGACTAAGATTAACGTGCACGACATGGATTTAGGTTGTTGTCGAGGCGAATGCTCGATTTCAATTGAATCCCATCTATAGTAGAAACAGCAAATATTTTCATTCCGTTTCTTCCGATCGTTGGCGTCGGATATTCCAATATTGCCTAACTACGACGGCTGATGATCCTAAGATCGCAACAGTGTGCTACGAATTCCTAAGGTTAGGAAAAAGACATATATACTTTAATTTGCTTTTCAATATACAACCTTCTTAGTAATACACGGAATATATTTCTACTACGGCACGTGTAACAGGGTTTTGCAGCGAATCTTTCACTAGCCAAAATCAGTGAGGTATTAGACAAAAATGCTGGAAGAGTTTCCACTAAAAATTGGTGAATACTCACTGATTACCGGCAGAATATTGTTTCACTGGTTCAATTAATGACATTTTTACTGATTCGACTTAAGAGGGTATAAATAAGCTGCTAGAAAGAGAGAGAGAGAAAGAGAGATAAAGAGAGACGTTTTCAATTTTTCCTCTTTTCCTTTTAGCAATTTTATTCTAAACATTTTATATTCATCCTTTTTGTATACCGAAGGTACCATTTCCATTTATAAATAGATAAATAAATCAATCAATAAATAAAAATAAACATAAAAAGTCTGCTTGAAAACGGAGGACGCGCTCGAGAGAATGACGCGCTCGTCGGTTTCGTGGACTGGCGCGGGAGAACATCGCGAGATCGCGAAAGAGAAACAGAGAAATCGTGGCCAAGAGTGAGCTTAAACACACATATATATATATATATATATATATATATATATATATATATATGTCGAGACCGTGGTCACCCGACTGGTGCGTGGCCTTAAGACAGTATTTCCCGAGATTCATCGCGTCGCAAGGTTGAACGAACCTTCGAACGGTCGTCGATCGTTGGCGCTATTTGCCGTCTCGTAAGAACGCAAGCGCGACGCGGATTTAAATCGTCAATTTGGCCGTCGATAAAACCGCTTATCGTAATCTGCCGATGGCACACTTCGACGTTGTTCGCGCGTTTCCTTTCGTTTGCACAGCCCCTCGGCTGTCACGGCCAAACTTGGGCGACTCTGTCGTAGCGAATGAAAGGTACGCTATTGAGAAAAAGAAGGAAAAGGACTCTTGACCTAAATCCCGCGAGCGCGTGTAGTCTTTTATCATAAATATATAATCGGCTGGAGCGCAAGGACGACTTGCCGGCTAATTACGCTCAATGGAGGAATGGTGGAAGATAATCGTCGGATGTCCGACGAAAATCTGCCTCGCGCAGCGATGTCGCAACGCGTTTTCGACTGCAAGAAACCATCTAAGAAAGCGTTTTATTACGCGGCCGCGGTTATCCTCCAACGGGAATACGCGTGACCGTCGGTCTCAATGTCACAGACGGATTTATTACGCTCTTACGCCTACAAATGACTAATTCGTCTCACTCTGCCGATTCCCGCGCCTCCAATTTTCCCGAATGACACGGACGTGTTCCGAATATGCCTCGCATTGCTCGCATCTTCAAAAATCTACATAATTCCTACTACTACACGAAAAAACACATTTAGTTGGCTCAAACTAAATTCTTATGTGGATATAAACAAACAAAAAATGTTGGTCGTGAGAACTAAAATTTTCTTTTCTGAACCGGACCTTTTTCACTTTCGTTTCAGCAAACCAAACTTTTGATTCGGAGAATCAAACTTTGGTTCTCACAACCAAAACATTTGTTTGCCCGTATCCAAATAAGAACTCTGTTTGGATCAACTAGATGGGTTCCCTGGTATACATAAGATGACAAATTAATATTATTATTAACCGTAGTTCGCCACATTCTGGTCCAACGCTGAACGTTTGTCGGTTTTCAATATTAATTAGAATGATAATGACAAATTTCGACGATCTCACCGGAATGTGACGAATTAAAGTTTCGAAAATAAATATGTCTAGCTAGGATTAAGGTCGACGGCACATTTCGTGCATATATTCTCTTTTTATCTTGCGGTTTTTTTATATTCTTGAGATTGCTCGAGTCAATTTCATTCCCGCAAAACGCAATTACGCGTATCGACGAGATGATTAGATATCAGCCGCAGATACGCCTAATAAAATAGACTTGTACGGCATAATTCAATCGTATGTAGTCGCGATGTTCGAAGGCAATCATTCGAGAACTCCTAGTTCTCGAGGGAAGGATGCAAGCAAGCTCGCTCGCAGCGAGCGAGCGACCTATGTATGTGCATCGGAGAGTCGAATGACGCGTGCATGATGCACGCGCTGCATGCATAAGCGCACTTGTGTGCCGCATATTGTGTCACGTGTGATCTCAGAATTGAGCCTGATCACGCGGAAGCTGACGATGGTTCGTACGTTGCGAAATTCCTTTTCTGACATCCGTGTTGATCGATCGGTATTCTATTCGCGCGCATCACGTAATGTCATATTTATATTGACATTCTCAGTCCTTTGCGCGAGGAGCATTCTGTGCTAAAAGGCGAGTTCGACATCTAATTACACAGCAAATAACGTCGAGATCACGTGCGCCGATAAAGAAAGATTAATGTCGAGGCACGAGACGTACGTCACCGATAAGGAAAACGTGAGATTATTAACGACAATCGGCTCAATCGGTTGCCCGCCGATCTCGCTGAAATTCGCATTAGCCCGAAATTCGCGTTTATCGTTTTCGATCGGCGAGCAGCTTGAAATCCCGCAGAACGCGATAAATTGTATCATTTTAACGAGCGAGTAAGTTGGGTAAGCTCGACGCTTTTCATCAGCGTTTCAGCCGCTTATCGTTTTACTAATGCGTCACACGTAGCAAATATTGTTGTTTCTGTCGCATTTTTCACGCGAATTAATTAAACGAGCAAACATCGAGAGCTGACAGATGTGGCGCCGTCGGTTTAGCAGCTTCGATAAGAACGAATTTCAGTCAATTATCACGTAACACGCGTCCCGTGATAAAAAAGGTGTGTCTGTGTGCATAAAACTTGACTTGCGCGCGCGCACGCACGCGAGAGAGCTTTTTCTTAGGTCGTAATTAATTCGAAACGACTTATATCTACAAACAATATTATCTTGTTGACGCGACTACAGCAACGGGTTTCATTTTTCGCAGTTCGAGATTATATTTGCAAATTCGATTGCGCATGGCAGAAAACAGATTATCAAAATTTTATAACTCGCCTTCTAGTATTTTCATCGATCATTATTTTCGCGATCGAGTTGGTGACAATAATACCTCTTTATTCATTTGCATGACGGTACAGACGCCCGTAATGCTAATTGGATTTTCGGTGGAAAAAGACTGGCAAACAGCTGAAACATTTAATACGTTATCGTTCATAATAACAAATATATAAAATTTATGGTTTCAAAGTTTCAGAAAAAACCGTTTTCCCCCATTTTTCCGCGGATTTCTTCGCTTTCTGTCCCGAGAGTAGAAAAATTCGTTTAGAAAGATTCACGTGCACGGAAAAAAAATTCAATAAAATTTCCAACAGCACGCGTAATTGAAGTAAATCTTCTTGATTCAATAACGATATCATTGAAACTAATATTTTAATTATTGAAACAATACGTAACGCAAGAGTTTTAATGATATTTGTCACTGCATCGAGAAGTTTACTCCAATTACGCTGCTGTTGGAAATTTTATTGATTTAGCAGCATCTTTCCGTGTGTGTTCGGTTAAAACCTGCTACGTTTATTTTTCCGCAGAGCAGGCAAAAAACCAACGAAATCCGCGAAAAAATATGGGGGAAATGGTTTTTTCCAAAACTTTAAAAGTATATATAAAAAATAAAAGTTACTACACCACCGAGACTCTCAGAAACCAGGTACGTTTGTAATTCACTTTTCGTGAATTTCTCAGAGCTATATACAATCAAATTTTACAAATGTTAATTGGATGCTTTCCTTCTTCTCGTTGCAGGCCCCAGTACATGGGTGACGAAGTTTCCCATGGCGGCCGGTTCGAGGCAGAGTCCGGTGAACATCGAGACCTCTCGGGCGGAATCCGATCACGAGGCTCTCAGCAGTAAACCCCTACGATGGAAATATCCGGCAACGGCCTCGCGGACGCTGGTTAATCCCGGCTATTGCTGGCGGGTGGACGTCGACGGCGAGGGCACGTGTGAGTAGCCTTTTGTCACCGCTCGTGTTCTCTAGAATGTTATCTTTATTATTATTACTTGAAAACGTTCTTTTTACCCCCGGCTAAAAAGAATGAGTTTTATCGCGGTCCTCGCTTTTTCTCTCGGTCGCTCGCAGAGTATTAACATATTTAACAAGGATCGGTCGGTAGCGGAGGTGAACAGCACCCGCGGCGGCGAACCGTGCGCGACTCGATCGCGCGTGTGAGTGTGCGCGCGCGCGCGCGAAAGAACTCCCTCCTCCCTTCGGAACGTGGAAACGATCGCGGTCGCGAAAACTTTGAATTGCAGATCATCGGGAGGATGCAAATGCGGCGCGGCACGTCGCGTCGCGAAATTAGCGTAGCGCCCGCGCACTATCCAGAGATGGCGATCCAGTGTAATTTTAGACGATTGTTCGTAACACCGTCCCGACCTCGCGTTCCATCGCATTCTATAAACATTTTACATTGGCAGCGGCGCGGCGGGAATGACTCTGCTGCTCGACTCTGCATCTCGGCTCTGCAGCTCGTTAAATTAGAATCCGTACATCCTGCGCCCTAAACCGACGATCTGTCCTAAGTAGGAGAGTGACGTCAGAGGATGTTGATATTCATTTCCAGTAATGCTTAGTTCATGACGTCGTTGAGACGTCTAATGGACGTTCATAGCGCGTCATTTTCTACGTCAATTAAAAACGTCATATTGAAGACGGCCAACGGACCAAATATTTTATTCCTTTGAAAACCTTCTGTATGGTCTTTCTGCTTATATTTATTTATATGACTTGATCCAAGTAATTTATTTAACTCTCCGTTAGTCTCAATATTTTTCCCATGAACCGTCGCGATATATCACACAAATACAATAATTTTTCCGTTATTTTCCTCTAATTCTTTCTGAAACAGTTGTTGTTTCATTAACAGTTGACTAGTAGACCAGACACTAAAATATGTAAAAAACAACGAAGAACAACAAGAATAAAGAAAAAAACATTGATAAAAACAAGTTCGACCTTGAGGCCGTACAGTAACGTTGTAGCCTGAACGTATCTGTCGGATACACTTGCAACTAACGGAGAGTTAATCCAAATAAAAATCCGCTAAGAAGTATTGGAGTAATTATTTACATGAATACAGCACTTTTTTCTGCGTATTCAGTCATAGAAGTCCAGCAGCGGAGGTCGCGATTAGGGAAAAGCGGATGACCGCTACGGGAATGGAAGGACACATGTACGTATGAAGATGTAGTGACACAAAAATAAAATGACAAATTTTTCTTTACTATACAAATAAAATGATAAAACACATTATTTCGTTTGAACCATATCAATAGATAAATTCCACAGCAAATCAACATCGAACGATCGTTAATTTTATCCTATATTAGTCCAATTTTTGTCGTCAGTCAGACGTCACAGAATGACGTCTAATGGATTCGTCCATATCGATGTGTCATTGTCTGGTCCCCAAAGAGCCGACTCATGACATCTACTTCCGCTCATGACCGAAATGTGTCGTCTTCTCGACGTCTCTTTCCTGCCTAGAGTCTGTCTTCCTTACGTAATACAGTCTTGCCTTTCTTTCTTTTTTCTTTTTTATGTCAATTTAATATATCACGCGGACCTTACGTAAGAGACGCGAACGTGATACGGCACGGTCTGTTTTGTCGCGATGTTACGTGTTCCGAGAACGCCGCTGGCGGCCGAGGGGAGCGGGTTGTCTGGGTTCGCGTACACACACCGGGCGATTTGAAATAACAGCCGCGAGCCGCGTACATACGAATATTCCCGCAGTACTTCATCGTATATCGTTACGAAGGTTTCACTGTCGAGTTCGTGCCACTTGGGGAGGCTTTTACCTTCGTGGAGTGCCCGAGGCATATTCGAAATGAGGACGACCGTGCCGTAGCGTATTATGTGTATTCATATGTGGCGCGCTCGCCATCGCTCCGCGCGGCGATGTGTTACACAAAACAATAGATAGAATGCCGCGATAATCACGCCGCACTTACTCCTGGTAAGTGCGGCGTCGAGCGAGGAGCGGCGACTCGCGCGAGCTCGTTTCTTTCTTCCCGAGGAATTTAACAGGAATTCAATTTCGAGGAGGAAAATCCCGTCACTCAAGATTACTCAACGTAGAATTTAAAATTTCGACTCGGGAACGGAGGAAGCGCGATAAGTCTTTCTTTGATGCTGCGAAGGGAATTTAGTCCTCCAGCGTCTAATGTTAGTTCCACATCAGGCCTTCGAGTGGAGGAAACAGCGATAATTTCCTCGTTTGTAGCATCAAAGCAGCGCAATTTCGCGAAACCCCCGACGATCAGCCGTCGTCGCGATCATTCGCGAAAGTTTACCTTGTTCTTGTTTATCGAGTAATTTTAGATTCTCCCGCGACTCCGAGGATTTTGTCGAGGCGTTCGTCTCGCGGTGTTAAAATGTGCGCCAAATTTTCCGTACGATTTATTATGGCCGAGCGGGACGACGACGGCGACGGTGATAAAATGCGTCGCAGCGCGTGGTTCTCTCCTCGGCCATCCGCCGACGCAAATGAGTCACGCGGTACAGATGCAGCGATCCACCTCGTTGTAGCCCCCGTGCGATTCATGTAGTTTGGTTAATCAGGCGTATCCTGTAATAGAGAGCGGCCCCGTGACGGGCCGCTGTTACGTACCCTTGTGCGCGCGTAAAAGCGCGCTCGGAAAACTTCCATGGTCGGAAGCAACGCGGAACCGACGCTCGAAATGGTTTCGCAGTTCGTCGCTCCGTGAGGTCGTCGCAATAACGGCTCGTAAATGATACACCACGGTTTTCTCCGCAGTTTTGAGCGGCGGACCGTTGATGGATGACGTTTACAAGCTGGAGCAGTATCACTGTCACTGGGGATGCAGCGACTCCCGGGGATCCGAGCACACCGTGGACGGTCAGGCCTTCGCTGGAGAGGTACAGCAACCTAACTGTTTCCCAAAGCGTTAAGGTTTCTAGGAAGACTAAGGGAATGACTCAGCGGAATGGCTGATTTGCAATTTTAATACCATGTTTTTATGCCTTGAGTCTTTTTAAATTATCATTTAAAATTTCTTGAAGAAATTATTATTTAAAATTATCGTTTAGAATTTTTGTCGCTATACAGGGTGCCTCAGTGTCTCGTGATGTGTAGAGAAATAAAAAATAATCTGCCCGTATTTGTAATATTGTCATTGTATATTTGTCTTAATTTTGATCAAAATTAATATTCATTGCTCGGATAGTTAAATCAAGTTATAAAAACGTGAATAATGAACTTATGTAGGAGCCCCTTAATATCGCCACTGAAGATCCAGCATTTTACGAACCAACTACCTTAAAGCGAAGGCTTGCACCGATAAGTCAGTCATTCTGCTGAAACCCTGAGGCTGGAACTACAATAAGTGTATTAAGCCTTTAGCCTCTTGCTCTGAGTAATAAAATGTAATTTCTGACAAAAGGCGTTTCTCGCGCTGCGCCAAAGATCATAATAACGCTTAAATCTTAAGAACCGCAACGTCTGATAACGTTAGAAACGCTTTTCGCTAGAAACGTATAATCATTCGAATTTAATATTACGAAAAACAAAGACAGTTTATCACACCTGTTGTGGATCCGGACTAAGGGCGAGACGTGAAACGCGCGTTCTCGCGGCAACGCACTTCGCGACGGCTCGACGAGTTAGACCTCGTGTCTCGGATCAGCAGGCGGACAATTAACCGCGTTAGTCCGTTATTCGCAGTTAATGGTGCGCTCCATAGTAGCTTGTTGGTAATTCAATCGCGTATGCAGCATGATTCACCATGTGCGCGATCATTCGTACGAGCTTATGGCAGCGTCGACCTTGCCGGGAGCTGCTCGCCGTATGAGATTTATCGCGACGCTTTTTAACTTCGCCGAGGATAAGTCGAAGCTCGTGTACGCTCGTTGCTTGTCTTCGAGTACGTTTTTTCTCCCTCGCAGGACCGAGAGGCAAAAAGGATCGTTCTCTCGGAAAAATGTGACGGCGAAAAGACGATAATTACCGACAGGCGGTGCTGTAATATTGCGCCGCCTGTTCTATTTGCATCTGTTCGATCCTCTTAAATAGCGTCCGCGGCGTTATTACACGTTTGTTTTGAACGTCGCATCGATAATACGAGCCAGCGACGTGCCAAATGATCTTCTGGCAACTGTGCGTGTTTGAATGCCCGCGTATCGCGTTACGGGCGAGAAAAGAACAACAGACGAGCCGAGTGGGAGCAATAATTGGCATTATTGTTGGAACAACTCGCGTGTGAATAACAGCCGAACGAGACGCCCGTCCACCTGTCCGCGTCGCGGAATGTCAAAAGAAAATTCCCGAGGACAGATAAGAGGCCGTCCGTGAATTGCCGAAGAGGATGCTAATAATTAGCCGAAAAATTGCGTGTTTCCTGCGCGCCGATCTGCGATCCGCCGGGACGAAACCGTCGCGAGAATTCTCCCAGACGTTCTCGCCGCGGAAAGGCGCTCCGCGATAAATCGATTATGCAATCCTCGCGCGTCTGATCTTTCATAAACAGCCGACTTCGACCTGACCCTGCTTACGATCGCGGAAATATTAGCGATTCACGAATACAAAAAAGGAAGATGGAGAAACTTGCTCGTCGTCGGATCTGCCGGAATCTGCGAACCGACGGAAGAAGTTCAAGGCTCGCGCGAATCATTACTGTCGGCGAAAGAATCTCCGAACGTATCCGAGTCGGAATTTTAATCCCACTTTAAGTCTAATTTAGTTTTACATTAAATCCCCCAAGGTCATCTACTCTGCTCCTTTGGTACTACAAGTGGAAATTTATTCCCGTTTTCTTCCTCTTGAAGACTTAATGTAAAATGAAAAATGTCGACTCAGGTGGTAATAGCCCGAGTCGAAATTTCAGTTCCGTATTAAGCCTGTTTGGTTCTGCATTGAGTCTTCAAAGGTATTGTGCTCCTTTGATGCCAGAAATGGGAAGTTACTTCCGTTTTCTCCATCTAAAGACTTAATGCGAAACCAAGTGGACCTAATATAGAACTAACATTTCCACTCGGCTGGATCCTTTCTCGTACATCCTCCGAGCGTCGATTCTTTCTGGCAGCGTGCTGCTCCGAAGCGATTCGAACTCTATGCTAATTAAACGACCCGCGTCTTAAACGCATTAGCGAGTCAATTGGCGGTCGCAGCGAGCTGGCCAATTCGATCGCTGCGCACGTCCCCGATTTGTTCTCCGATGCGCTCGCAGAGCGAACGCGCAGCGAGTGGGCGATGCACTTTTCGTCTCCGGCACGACGACGACGACGACGACGTGGACGACGCTCGCTCTATCGTAAAATTGCACGGGCCGCACAAATGATATCCCGTGGTACGATCGTATCGGGGAACTAGGTTGATCGGATGTACGGATATCCGCGGAATTTCTCAGCCAGTCGAGTTACCGCACCGATTGCATAATCCCTCTAACGATCACCCGTCAGGCGCAATTATCATTTATTGATGCCGATAAAGTACTCCGTTATGTATATCTCCGCGTTCGATGACGCAGATCATCGCGTACTCGACGGATTGTGCATCACCGGTTGACGACGCGAGAGTGCGATTAAACACAGCGCGTCGAAGAATAAGCAATAGCAGCGGCACGGTCCGATTATCGAGGCGAGACGAGATTAGTATTAATGAACGCCTCGGGCTCTTTTCAGCAGTACAAATATAGAAACTGACGTTTCTTAATTGACAGTTGGACGGTGGGACGATTAAAGTACTCGTTGCGCCCAGTCAACCTGCTCGTTTCGCCTCCTCCTCGATTGCCCGCTATTAGACTTAATACGCGTGATTTAGATTCATTAGATGGTTCCGTTTGTTTCAGTTGCATCTGGTACACTGGAACACCAGCAAGTACGAGACTTTCGCCGAAGCTGCAAAAGCACCCGACGGTCTGGCCGTTCTCGGGGTTTTCCTCAAGGTAGGTACATACATACGCGGGGAAAATAAATTTTGCTGGAACAGCGAATTTGTTTGTTGATGTAATGATGACAAAACATTTTTGTTTCAACAGCAGAAAGATTTGTTGAGAGCATTAATTGCTGGATATATGGACAGCAAGACAATTTGGTTGTAACCAACCAAGTTTTATTGCCGTCGCAACGGCGTTTTGCTATAACAACAAAATTATTTTTCCCGCGTGACAAATCTTTTCGCTGTCACTGTATTGGCAAGCAATTTGCTGTTCCAGCGAAACTTCTGTTCTCCGTGCGTGATCACGCCGAAGAGATACCGCGTGAGGTTTTACGGACGACGGAAACCTTGTCGCCTTGTCGTTCATCTCGAATCAGTTGGACACTCCCACAGGTGTCAATCTTTCGAGCTTTTTTATTATGAAGTTAAGGAGTGTCCACACGGAAAGAAAAGAAAATCTCTCGGTTCATGTAACAAACAACCGAGAGCAGACAAAAACTCGGAAACGAGAAACGGCGTTTCTGTTATCACGATTGAAAGCTTCCGTTTGAATATCGGCTGGGTTAAAATCCGATTAAGATAACTGAGAAATAATGGATTAAATAGAAATTGCCTTCCTGTTCCCGCGATCGAGTTCCCGTCTGGTCGCCGGACAACGGAAAATCGGTTACACGAGCTTTTTCACGGGGGTTTTTCCTCCATGAACGATTCACGCGCTCGACATCTTATATTTTTCAATATCAGGTCTGTGCGGAAGATTTGTCGAGGTCCTGTCGAGGATATGAAATGGCAAAGCATTGCGATAGAAGCCGTAGTTCTTTTCCGGGATTCTAATGCGCCTTGACGCTCCGTTCACATTGCGCGCAGTTTGTGTACGGATTCGCGCGCGCGCGCGCGCGTCATAGTTCTTTACTCAAGCCTTTTACGTAAGACGTAAGCTGTCCGCAAGCAGAATCCGTAACAGTGTCACCAGCCTTGCCGTAATCGGTCGATTATGTAAACACGAGACAGACATAATTATTCGGCGAATCAAACGCGAAACAAGACACATACGTTTTCATCGGGCGCGCACGACGCTGTCGTTTGCGTTCGCGCACGTAAAGAACACCTCGATCGCGTGCAACTGCAATTATTCTCTTCCGCTTCGCGCAATACCTTTGTGTGCAACATTTAGGTTGCGGCTCTGTGCAACTCGATATCCCATACGAGCGAGAGAAGATCGCGACTCGGGCCGAGCGCATGAAACAGGCACGGAAGTGGCTCACTTTTCCTCCATTTATTTAGAAACGCCTCATTTCTTCTCATTTTTAAGTAAAAAAAGATTCACTTTTCTTGCTTTTTTCTTACTCAATTTGAAGAAACCTTTTTAGAAAGAATTCCATCACAGGAAATTATTTTCGATAGCTCTGGCTTTTTAGAAGGCAAAATAAAAAATTGAAAGAAAATAGAATGTAATATAAACTTGTCTTTTTTTCAATGGAAAACTCCGGAAAATTTAAAAATAAGTGTTCTTCTCTCACGAAGAGGAGACTCAAGGCGGCTATTCGTCGTTGCGTAAAATCGCACGTAGACGTAAGATTTTCAGATGATAAAAAAAAGAAGAAAAGCTCACGAAGCGTTTTGCTGTTTGTTTCCTGGGCTCGGGAAACTGCGATTGTTTCTTACGTAACGTCGAATAGCTTCGGGATCCGTTAATGTCGCATAAAATACAAGGGACGTAGGTATCGACGGGAATTTATGTGCCACGCGTGATGCTCGACAACAACACGCCGGGCAATTCGGAAAATGTCATTGCGCAATCGATAGTGAGCATCGGCGCGAACTCGAACGCTTTGATCGCACTCGCTCGTCTGAACTATTCTCTGCTGTTTCATTTCCGGCCGTTGTCTCGACACTACTTTCAAGTTCTCACGGGCGATAAGAAGACCGTTTAGCCGAGAAACTGGTTAATTTTCTCCAACTTCTAAGTCAAGTTTTTAAATTCGCGCGTTAACAAACGCCAATTTCGTCGCAGGTTGGCAAGACCCACGAGGAGATGGACAAGATCGCGCGCCTGCTACCTTTCGTCTCGCACAAGGACGAGGAGATCGACATCACGGAGACGATCGACCCCGGCAAACTCTTGCCCGGTAAGTCCAATATCGAGCGGCGGTTTCGCGATTTCGCCTTCCTTTTGATCAGGTATTCCGTCGCAAGTGCGCCTCGTGATCCGTGTCCTTGTTGTTCTTAACGTCTGACTCCTTGCAATATTCAATCGTACTCGGGGTCGAGTCTGTTTCTAGTTTTAAACTCTCGGAAAAATCCGATTTCTTTCCGCGGATGAATGAGAAAAATTGGAAAAACACGGATTTTTCAATTCTCCCGCGGATCTCTTCGGTTTCTTTTCGAGCGAAAATTGAAAAGAAGCGATTTTTTTTTCAACTATAAGTGTGTTTGTCATAAATGCGCGTAGCACGTTTGATGATTTATGCGAGTCGTTCGAGTCGCACGTGGGCGAATTCGCGCGGAAAATGCGCGAAAGCGACGAGAGAGCACTTGGAGTCGCTTCGAAGTCGACGATGCAGACGCGTCTCCGCCAGTTAACATTACTAACGAAAATCTGTCTCCTCGCGTATGTTGTCCCTCCGTCGCGTCGCCGCTTTACTCGCGCGCGACCGCACGCACCACACAGTGCGCGGTGGACGAGCCGGCACGCAGAGATGCGTGAATCCGTGCATGCGCTGGGCTGACCGAATCATACCACGCCACGAGAACAAATGGGACTTTCAAGGTTCGTATCGCCTTGAACCACTTCGGAGCAGGAGAAGCTGCGCGCTCGAGCGCGCTCTCGCCCCGCATGCTTCTTTTTTTCAGAAATCAACGAGAGAGCAATCCGAAAATGTCTCGTGACCCTCCATTTCCCTCTTTCTCGCGAGTGCACACGATTTCGCAATTTTCCCGAAGCCCTGCATGCTTCAGAGCGCACCCGGCCGACCGGTTCAGGCCGGACGCACGTTAGGTTTCGCAGGGATCGATGTTTCTTTTATTTTGTCACACGCTCCGATGGGAAAAGTTAATTCAGCCCAGGAGGAGTTATTTCTTCCAAACGCAACGCAACATTTTTGCTCAGAGATGTTAGCAATGTTTTTTCCTTTTCATTCTTACGGAGACTACATTGAGAACAAATATTTATTCGGTGAGTACTAATAACATATTTATTTATATTAATAGACATATTTATATGTTGAAAAATTTTCATATGAGGAAATGTTCATTTTCTTAAATCCGTTGCTTCTCATGAAAGCAATTGTTTATTATATTTGAAGAAAAGAATTTAGATTTAAGTAAATATGTTATTAGCACCCGAATAAATATTTTTTTTATCACTTCTTTCACAGTGCACACACTTGTACGTTCTTGAAGTGTTTCACTTGTACGAATATAGCACATAAGTCATTGGTCATTGGTGACATTTTATTTATTATTATTATTAGGTAATTTAGATTTTGCTAATGCACTTGAGTCAATCAATATTCTACTTTCTACAAACGGCACGGTTACATGTACATGTATGTGAATTCCCTGCACTTCTGCCTGTATAGATAGTTATCGGAAAGATATTAACACCGATGTATCCTCGTCATTGCATATCGGTGTTCCGGAGACACGTTCTGAGCGTACCGATAACACTAAAAGATAAGGCAAACGGCGAGTACGCATTTTCACGAAAGATTTCCTCCCGGGCGAATTAAGTGGCACATTAATCAAATTGTGTAACTCCACTCTCCTCGATACAGTCGTTGTATTGTGTGTCGTTAGTCATTCTTCGATCTCTCACTGTCCTCCGCACGGATGAATGAAAACACATCTATAATTCCGGATGCTTTATCACGTGCCTCGAATCTCGTGTTGAAACAGAAGGTATCATTCAATTAAGCTTTCCTCGAGGGGTTCCTCCGAATTCCTAAATTTGATTGAACGGCACGAAGGGACCAATTTGGAAATGACCTTTTCACATCACGATGGAAAATAGAATCATAACAGAGATTCTGTCACTTTACAATATTCGATTGATTTCGCTCCACATTTATTACATTTATTAGCGGAATATTTTTTACTGTTAATTTAAGCGATCGCTTGGTCGCACGTCTGTACGTTATTTCGTTGCGTCGCTTTAATTGTCAACCTGAACATCACGGAAAAAGATAATTAGCTCCCACAGTTAAAGACTAGCTTCCACAGGTAAAAATTAGCTGTCCATACAACACACCTGAGATTTAATTAATTCAGTTCATTCATTTTCGTCTCTGTGTCTAATGTTTAGCCCCCTCAGCTAAACACTAGGTCTGGTAATTAAATTTCAGTTGTATTATATGGACAACTAATTCCTTTTTTCCGTGCGATTCATTAGCGTGTTTTCTTCGATTTGCGTTTTATACGATCGTGCAAAACGCCTTTGACACGTTTCTTTTGTTTTTTACGCAGACGATAACGGGTATTGGACGTACTTGGGCTCTCTGACCACGCCGCCGTGCAACGAGAGCGTCACTTGGATCCTCTTCAAGAAATATATCGAGGTGTCGCATCGCCAGCTGAACATTTTCCGCAATTTGCGAAAGTTCCCGCGTGGCGAGGAGTGTCCTTGCCACGAGAATCACGGAGCGGTGAGTATACACAGCTCGGCATACACGTAGAGAATTTTCCTCGAAGATATAAACATTCGTGAACCTAAAAAGTATCATAGCAATTTGCTCGGCTAGGATATACTTATAACGACGAAACAATTTCAAGGCAGCGTGAGAAATTTATAAAGCAGCGCGAACGACACGATGGAGGGCCCTATTATGGTTCTCATAATAAAGTGAGAATTACAAAAGTGAACGAATTTACTAGAATATTTATAATCTCATTAATCACCTAGTGAATTGGCTCACTTTTCTGACATTTCCTTCTACAAGTAAATTTATATGTAATTCGTTTAAAAATTATACCTGATCGAACTTTTCGCTCACTGCTGCCATATACAAGTTTTCGCTTCAGAATGAATACAGACACATTGCTGTTTTGCCTTACGTATTGGTTCTCTATCCCATACTGATTCTATCTTCACTTTTATTTCTTGTATTATGTTACTTTGATCTACTTTTATCCATCAGGTTTCTCGGGAACAATAAAGTTATTATTATCATTATCCTAGTCGTGCAAAATATAAGTCTAGTAAATTGCGCTGTTAGAATGCTACGTCATTTGACAGAAATTGCGTGTACGAACCTTGCGGATACCGCACACCGATTGCGCGAGATATTGCGATCGTCGTAACTTTTTTCCCCTTTCAGTCTTCGGCCAACTCGCCGCGCGGCGGTCGCTCATCCCTCTCGCCTTTTTCCCCGGTCTTTCCTTATCCGAAACTATAAACCCCATAGATATGGACTGGCGATTTCCTATAGTTTCTGTACTAGAAGTAATGTCCGAAGGAAGTTAGAAAGGGAAACGTACTTCTCAGTACTTCTCTCTAAAAACATTTCCGGACACTTTAATCCATTTCGGATGAGGCTGCCAACATTTTGAGACCCATGAGATTCAAATAGTTTCAGGGTAATTGGGATCTAAGGAACTCAAAAAACCTAAAATCGGAATTTTCCGATTAGCCGTTTTCCCCGGTAAATAGTCGGAACATTTACCTTGATTAACACCCGATGTATACCTGGCGAATCATATCATAACAGTAATCGTTATTTTCGGTGATTTTTGAACTTTTGACAACAATATCTCATCATTGTTTTCTCAATTTTTATTTTTTATTAATTTTAATTAACTAATTAAAAAGATGAGACGATGCATTAAAAAGGTGTGTTTTGGAAGATTATGTTCCGTCCCTACCTGCCGTAGGGGAGATGACGAGTGGTGGCCAGGTGAAATTATTTTCCGAAAGGCAAGAATCCAAACTATACTTCAATAACAAGATTTAGGCCGCGACCTAACTTTACCATGGATAATAAATTGTCGAAGACAATTTGCTGTCCCTACAGAAACCGAGAACGCAATGCGTTAAGAAAGAGAAGTACTCCAAAGTATATTTTTTTCTCCAACTTCCTCCGGCCAGGAGGTCTGCTTCGTATCGCCAGTCCATATCCGTAAGGCCTACGTCCGAAACGATCGCGAGGATTTCCCCGTATCGCTTTCCCGCCGTATCATCCGGCGTCTCCTCCCCCGCCTCTGTTCCCGGGGTGATAAATGAACCGCGAAGTGTCGCGATCGGCGCGATCAACATGACGGCGAACGCCTCTGCGGCGACGCGATTACCATTTCCCTAGTCGCGAGATACATATCGTCGCCTTTTTCTCTTCTTTTCCTTCCCGCTCGATATACGTGTATATGTATCAAGCTCGGAGCTGCCGGGCTATTTTTAGGTATCCAGGACGTGGACGACCGACGGCACGTCCCGACGACCGGGAGTGTCGGACGCCGTCGTTTCTAATCTCCTCTTTTTGTCTCTCTCTCTCCGCCCCGCACAGGTGATCAACAACTTCCGTCCGACCATGCCGCTGGGGAATCGCGTCCTGCGGGAGTGCGGCAGCTTCTAAGGACGCCTCCTCCCGGGCCGCGAGAGCAAAGCCGATGATTCGCGACCCTCTTCGCCACGTCGTTTCCGCGAGCCATCGATCCCGGGAGCGACGACCACGGAGCGCGGCCGCCAACGGACGACGACCACGACGACGCCGGCGTTCCACGTGCCTTTCGATTAATCAACGAACACTCGCGCGTCCCGCGAACAACGGCCTCTCGCCTGTAATCGTGTTCCCCCGTAATCGAGGCTCCGCGATGACGTGTAATCGATTCCGCTGTCCCGCGGACGGACTTTCGGATTAGGAATATAAGTGCCCGCCGATTCGCGGCTTCGCCTCGGCACGGCTGACCCGACCAACTCTCTCCGCCGTATCCTCGCATTACCCGCGTCGATTACAGGGCGAGTCGCGGAGAGCCCAGGCGCGCTGTCATTGAAACACCGTATTGAAATCGCCGTTTGGCTCGCTTCGGCGGAATGTATCGTCGAATAAAAATGCTGGATGTGCGCGGATCCTCTCTTATCCCCTTCGCCTCCAACAGTCCGGATCTGCAATAGGTGTGATGAGGTTGCGTCTACGTAGAAAAAAATTGCCTTAAATCGATGACAGATACTCTCATATATATAAGCAAGATTATTAGAATATTTTTCGGAGACTTTGAGTCTTGAATCGGATGCAGCTGATACTCGCATCAATACAAATCCAGCCGAATCAGGACGAAGAATCTTCTAATAAGATTATAATATTCTCGCTTGTACGTGAAAGTATCTATTCTTGAAAACATCTATTCGAGGCTCATTTTTTCTGTGTGTAATAGGAATAATAAGGTTGTATCCTTTTGCTTTAAGCACTAAATTCCAACGTAATTTCGAAAGCGAAAAGGGTTTCCGGCGCTGCCAGACCTCGCAATTCCCAAGATTTAAGCGTCATTACGCCTTTTGTCGGAAATTACATTACATTTTATTGCCCGGGGCTAAAGGCTGACGGCTTACCACACCTACTGTAGATCCAGCCTTAGCCTTTTGCTCAAAAGCGATAAAATGTAACGTTATTTCGGACGAAAGGCGTTTCCCGCGCTGCCAAAGCTGCAATAACGCTTGAAACTCGGGAATTGCGGCTGTCTGATAGCGGTGGGAACGTTCCTTCGCTAGAAATTGCGTTAGAATTTCCTAAGTAGCCAGGCGATATCAAATGACATTTTAATGACATCTTATTGACGTTAGAGACGTCATTAAGCCGTTATTACGATGTCATTTGGCGTCACCTTGCTATTTTGGGTTAATGCTTAGAGCGAAAGGCTGAAGGCTTACCACAGCTGTCGTAGATCCGGACTAATGGAGAGTTTCGCTCGCGCTCTCGCGCAATTGCAATATTTCAAGATGCTTCCCATGTAGCGCGTTACTCATCAAGTACTCCCTGAGACGTCGACCGTAAGTACAAGATGCCTCCCACCAACCGGATGCGCTTTGACGACAGACAGATACACACGCGCATAGACGGGCTATTGGAAAGACTAAAAAAATACTCGGCAGGCCGTAATTATACAGATAACTATCGAGTACACCCGGTCTTTCGGCAGCTTCAGGGACGCGTCGTTGCGTCAGTTCCACCAATTGGCCATCTCGAGTATTTAGAACATTCCGAATATAGTACCGTATCCTTGAACGATCCGAAGTGGCGCCTCGTGGGCGGTTAATTTGAGGTGTGCCTTATCTAAGAAGCGTTCGATTCAAAGGATTTCTCGTTCTCAGCCGATCGCCTTAGGTCCCGCCTGTGTGCAGTCCCGTTCGTCAGCTGAATAAAGCCAGCCGGTCGTCTCGACGGACACTTCGCTCGCTCGGGGACGGGCGGAGTAACGGCGGGCTAAACAGGGACATCGCACGACACGCACGCGTGCGTGAGCATTTCATTTTAATTCTTCAAGTGCAATTACGAGTGAAACGTAGATTAAACGTTAGAGCGTCTGCTTTTCACGCGGGGAAATGTCGCTTTCTCGTTAATTAGATTCGCTCGATTCAGCTGCAGGTAGAAGAAACCGCGTTGCTTGCGGCCGAAACGGCGCGCCTCTGTGCGTGCAGACGCGTGCACGATCCGATGGACGAGGCGAAGAACAAGGATATCGCGACAGCGCACTGATCGGCCCTCAGGCCGCAGCGTCTCATTACGTCGCCCATACACGTTAGATTAATGTACAATAAATGTGGAGGGGGGGGAGTATAGTTGTTTTTTAAATACGATGACTCTTATGGCACGAACGCACGCGAGGAAAGTTCCGTCGTAGCGTCGTCGGATCGATCCGTCCGGGAGAAGATGGATTTGGTCCTTGCGGAAACGACGACGGTCCGGGCATTGTTCTCGCTTACGGATGCGTGTACGATCAGTCACAAGAAAGTTGCAACATTTCTTTTATCCGGTGAGTTCCGCCACGCATCTCGTATCCGATCGAAAAAATGTATCTCCTGAAAATGAGTGCACGGAAAAGAAGTTCCTATCGAATCGATAAAATTTCCAACAGCAAATGTTGAAACTACGATGTTGTGTGTTGTCTCAATGATTAAAGTAGTTCAATGTTCAATTCAATGGTCTCGATGACATCGCCAGATTGAAGAAGACCCGATCACGCGAGCTGTTGGGAAATCCACTAATTCAGCAGAATTTTCGTCCGTGTGAGATAGTTAATAAATTTTCCCACTGGACGCGGGATGCGTCTCGAAAGTTAACGAGAGAAAGTGTCGCAACCTTTCTGTAATCGACTCTATGCCCGTTCGCGCACGTTTTTCACTGATGAAATTAGGAACGCGTCAAGCGGTCGTGATTACAAGCCGCTGCTTACGGGTGTCGTCTGGCACGATCGGCAGCGCAGAAGTCGAATTCTAGTACGCAATGTAATTAGCAATGTAATAGCTCTTTATCATGCTCTTACTCGACAGGTAAAAGTATGATAAAAGTACTTTTTTCGCAATTTTTCCCGCATCCTCTGTTGCGCTTGTGACGTCGGGTGCGTCTCGCCTGCCATCACCTCCTCTCATAATCATCACCGCGCGAGTTTCGTGATTAGTGGCTCGCAATCGTGATCACTTGATGCTCTCCTGCGTTACATCGGGCAGAAGATGAGAGCGAATCTGTGGTGCAAGCGAGCATACACTGCGCGCATATATGTGGCGTTTGAAATAGTTGTTCGTGATATATTTATGAATAAAGAAAGGGTGCGTGCGCTTCTGTTGGCGCGCGAGAGATCCGAAGGATTGACCGAGAAAGATACATATATATATATATATATATATTCATAGGCTGAATGAAGCCGCACGATGTGACGGAAAACTCATACGTGCGCGCTCGCGAGAGCGACAACCTCGTTCTGCATCTCTCTTTTCGTCACGGCGGCGAAGAGAGATCGACGCGGCGGATCGCAGGGAGGTAGTCGCTCTCGGCCGCAGGCAACGGTGAAATTCACGTGACATAATCGCGTTGCGGAAAGTTTATCGCGCGCGCAACTGACGCGCCGAGCAACAAGTGATGCTGATGCCGCGACTGCAGCGGCGTCACTGTTGCGAGCGCGACTTTGAGACACGCGGCAACAGGTAACAATGACGTCGGTGCCTTTAGAAGTCAGAGGTGAGATCACGCGGCGGGTTCTCGCCGGCGCGAGATTTTGTCCCCGCGAGTCGCGAGTTCTGGGGCGTTCTCGTTGGTGAGAAAAACCCCTCTTCGTGTGAAATCCCGGCTGACACAAACGTGTGCGCGTGTGTGAAGTAACTAATGACGCGCGAGAAACGTCATAAAGACGTAATGAGAGACGGAGATGAAGCGCGGGCCACGGAGACTTCGAGCGTCAACGGCATTTTAATAACATAGATGATAGCTTTACCTTACTTCGTGCCATACGCTGGCGATTTTATGTATCATAACGTGCTATCTTGCGATGTATGTCGAATATATTCACATATTCGAATATATAACACCTTTGACACACCTTATCATGTTATACGTTCTCAGGAATCGCTGAGCGTTACTCGTAAGCTGCGGAGTTTGCGCGAGGTTTACGTCAAGTACGAGTACCACACTGAAAAAAAAAAAGAGAAACGAATTAGCTTCCTCTTTTTATCCGTACACGGAAAGATAAGTCCTTTACTCTCGTGAGGGTGGTTCAAAGGACGAGAGAGAAGTGGTGAACGGCGCGACAGCGTTCCCTCGAAGAAAACGCGCTGCGAAAAGTCCTCTGCGAAACCTCGCGAGATTCCGCGCGTTTTTGCAGTTCGTTCCTCGACTTGTAAAGTGACGCCTTCTTTCGTCGTCGCGACGGCGCTTCGTCCTCGTCGTCGTCGGAGATGCGAAATGCATGTGTTTGTATTTCATAGCCTGGATACTGTGATAGAGAGAGAGAGAGAGAGAGAAAATAAAGAGTTTTATCGTTCTCGTACGGTGATATTCGCGTGACGAGGTCGCGCCTTCCGATCGTTTATTACGCGCGATCATAGACATTTAGAATGTACTGAGCACTCCCATTAGAGGGCTGAAGTATTAATAAGGTATTAATAAGAGAGAGCAATAGGGACAGTGCTGATTCCCTTGTCCAATTGCGTGGGTTAGCGGAAAAGAGGGGAAGGAAAGACGAGAAGCGATGCATGGTCATAAATATTTATGTGTCTCCTCGCGCGATCAAATACATAATATTCCTCTCTTTCCTTCACTACGTCCTCTCTCACTCTTCTGTTTTCCCCGCATCACCCCTTCCTACTGTACGACAGAGAAAGCTCCACTGTCAGCATATCCTCCGTCCTTCCATCTAGGCTTCAACTCTCCGATGGCAATGCTCGGTTCACCCCACATGTCTACGCGCGACGCGCCGGCGAGTTTTCGCGTCGAGAGCCGCTGAGCGCGCTTCTATTCTGAGCCGCGGCGGCTCATATGAAAGAGTACAAGGCCGGCAACCGCTAATCCTCGTATCCCTCGACTTTGATGTTCACCGTCGTCGGCCAGGACCAGTTTCAAGGAGAGGAGGAAAACCGTGCGCGCATGAGAGAAGGTGCACGTGAGCGCGATACTCACCTTGATACGAGAGCCCGACAGTCTTTCCAGTAATTCCTCGAAAAACGCCTTCGAGCTGCGAAATTACGCGCAATGACGTTGAAACGTTGCAATTACCGTGCGATCAAATTGGAGCGCGCGCGTTGAGGCCGATTGAAAAATCACAAGTTGCATCGCCCGCGTCATTTCCGCGCCCGAGATTCGCCGTCTGAGAGAGTTTCACCTTTCAACGTCAAATATTTCCCCCCTCCCCTTTCTCTCTCTCTCTCTCTCTTTTTCTTTCTGCCTGACGGAGATTTTTAATATTTTAGCAAATGCCTCGCTGATTAGATTCGAACTTTTATTCGAGACGACGAACATCGCGCGACCGCACTAAGACCTTATCGCGAGCAGTCGCGTCGCTTTTTGATGCGTTCACGAGGTCTCAGAACCGGTCAGCGGCTCCGATGTGGCCGTATGAGGGTTACTACACTCTCACGGCGGTCGATCACACTTATACCCGCCGCATCGGGCCTGAGTAATGGCCGTTGAACGTGTTAATCCCTCGTCCGTATATGTGTGGGCCTTGAGAATCGATAGAAATAAAATGTCATGTAGGTGCAGTTTTCCATTGTAATGCGTTGCGCACAGAATAAATTGTTTCCATCTTTGCAATTACGCGCATTGCGCAATCAACTTGGTCTTGTCGGATGGTTTCTTTCTTTTTCTTTTTATCAAAAACTCGATGGGAAACGTGCCGTCTATGTGTATAATGGGTCGACGTATTCTGTGTAGATGCAATTAGATGCGATTAAAATAGCACAATGTGAATATGAGATCATGAGGCGATTAATTTTATTTAATTATTTTTAATTATGACTCATTTAATTAAATTAAAAAAATTTTTGTTTTTAAACTTAATTTTAAATGAGACTCATTTATTAACACGTTCATTGCTAAGCTGAAAATTGGAATTTCGTATTTTTTTTATTTTTTAATTTAGTTTTTATTGTGCTCAAAATAAGTTAATATATTATTTATATGCTTTTATTATTATGTACATAGGATTTATGTACTCTAAATATCTATTACGCGATAACGCGATAACGCGTGATCGGCCGTTTGGTGAGAACTCGCATCACGCGATATCGCGTGCTTGGCAATGAACGTGTCAATCATTTCTACATATGACAACAAATGGACAGATGCGAGTTTACCGACTGTAGTTAACCGGCGAGCCGGTCGGTTATCGATTACCGTAAGTCGGCTTGCTACCATCTAATGGTAACTCACCGCAAGCACTCGTATTACCGTCAGAGTTAACACTTTCCACTGTTAAGAGGATCCTGGAATCGTCCTGTTTTATCGCAAATTTTAGTTAGCGCTGTACCCGTTACCGGCTGCACAGAATTAAAAATCCTTTTGCACAATTACAATACACACGTTAACGTAGGCTAAAACGGTTGATTGGAAAGGCTTTGTAATTTGTTAACTTTTCTTTGTTCTTCGAATAAAGTCAACCGTCTTCGTCTACATTCATATGTATATTGTAATTATGCAGGGGAATGTTTAATTATGTGCAGCCAGTAACGAGTACAGTGCTAACGAATTCGCGGTAAAACAGGGCTCCAGCTCGTTCGACTTATCGCAAGCTTCAAGTGAATATATTCAAAAGCTCGCTATACCACAGGATCTAGCCCACACGTTCCGAGTAATTCACACGAATCACTGTTACTCGGAAACCTAATCGTTAAACAAGGCCGAGGCTAAACTAACTCACCCCGGTGAAACTTTATTATTTCATAGTTATTATTGTGTATGCCGTCAACTCGCAACGTTGCACGTTGCACGCCGGTGAATGTAACAAACGGTGGGGATATGTATCGTGTAATTTTGATTTTATATATAATTATATTTTATAACTCGAATATTCCAGATTTCAGTTCTCAAATTAGAAAATTTGCACTTTTCACGAATTCACGCTGAAGATTCACGATCGACTCCCGTGTGATCATATTAAGCCAGGGGACCTGATATTAACGTATCCGCCGGGACAAATTACATGGTCGATACCCAGAAGAGATTCAACGCCCTGCGGAAGAGTAGTCGTCTGCTCGAAGCGAAATCGCCGGTCGAAAATGATAACGAATGCGCAGTCGTCATTTTTCGTCCGCTCCACGAGCGCTTATAAAAATAATCCCTCCCGTCACGCCGTTCGTATCACTTAAGAAAACGAATTACGACCTTATGAATCACGGATCGCGCGCAATACTTGCCCGTAATGAAACTTTCATCGTCCGACGCGACACATACACGCGTTCGTTACTCTCCCAACGAGTGGTACATTGTGAATCATAAGATCATTAACGGAGAGATGAAAATTCAATTTTGTCATCACGCTGGCGAATTATACACAATCCTCTCTCCCTCTCTCTCTCCCTCCTTCTCTGTCCGTCGCCGTGTGTGTACGTCACAATCGGATCTACGGAAGACCTTTCCAGAGCTCCGTCGGAATTCGCAGATACGCATCGGCGATCCGTGACTCATTGCGCTGGCCGTTAATTAGCATTCCCGTAGTTTGTACGTCGCACCGGGCGTATCGCGCATGCGCCGCCTCGCCGTACCGGTGGTATCGTAAAGACATCGAAGCTGCGCGGCGCGTCGCAGTACGAGTTCCGTCTTGGTCGTGTGCGTGTCGCCAGTGCTTCATCCCTTAATCAGACGACTCTGTGTACACGCAGAAGAGCAACATGGCAGTCTGTAAGTTGCATTGCGATATATTCCGTGCGTTCCTCTCGTTATTATCTATACGTAACGGTCCGATTTCGCGAGTCGGTCGAGTCTCGCGCGTCCTAGTCGCACTTTTCTTGCGTAATTTCTATCGCGCATGTCCGTGTGTAGACTCCGTTCCATTATTCATCGCGGTTCCGCAGCTGAATGGATGGCTCGACCGCAATGATTTCATCTGAACGGACGCGCGGACAATATGGAACAATATGGAGCGTAGAATCGAAACGACGGATGCGATTTAACGTCGCGTGTCTAAATGTAAAAAAGTTATCGCGCGAATCTCCGCGATCAAGTCGGCTGGTCGATCAGTTTTCCGACGTAAGACGACACTTAGAGTCCTCTTCCGGCCGAGCTATTTCCGCCGGCGAAACTCCGCTCCATTTTACGGACGATCGCGTCTAATGGGGATCCCCATCTAACGAGCCTTCTTAGGAGGGAGAAATAGTTCTACCATCTTAAGAAGCCTCGTAGTTTCTTTCTTAGAGGCTCTCTAAATATAGAGATGGGGCGCGGCTGTGCCGGTTTGACAAGCCGGCACGGCAGCCGAGCCGGCCGGCTTCTCCCGATGCTTTACGATCGCGCACGCAACGTTTAAACGTCTGAGCGATTCCTCGAAAGGACGATTGTCGGACACACTCGAAGACTCGACTTGCGAAGAGGAATGTAAACACGTCGCGCTGTCCCCGACCGGTTAAATGTTCGTTAAAGACTCTTAAAATGTCAAGGCCGAGTCCGTTCACAACAGACTTCCGCGATGCTTCGGTTTTCCAAACACTCGCGAGAAAAATATATTTTTGAGACGAGCAAAAGTCAAGTATTTACATATTTTTATGCGCGGACGATTACGGACAACCGTCCGATAAGCAAGGATATTAAAGCAATCTTTTGGAACGTTGATTTAATCATGGATTTTATTAAACATTTTGACATGATATTTTATAAATGTTTTCGAACTGTTACTTGGCAATGTAATATTCCTAAATATTAAAATCATAATGCAAAAATGTTATTTTTAATGTTTAGGTCAAGTATCGTTCACAATATATGACGTTGCATACGATATTGAGAAATACATATTTGAAAAAAACGTTACATGTTACAAAATGTCATTGCGATGACGTTGTGTTAACGGTTTTTCGGCTTACCGGGTGATGCGCCCTTCGACAATGTTTGCGACTGTCGGCGCGCTGTTGAGAAAAATCATCCTTTTTCCGCGAATGAGTTCAACTGTGGACAATTTCGTAATTTCGTTACGACATTACGAACGTGGGTGAGAATAGGTGCCGGATAGTTGCCGACGATGCTCGCTCTCCCGCTCGCTCTCTAGCTCGCCGGATATAATAGCCTCGATTTGATCACGTCATAAGAATGCGATCCCTCGTCCTTGCGCAATACGACTTCCAGATTGCGTGTTATAATACTCGCCTGCCGCAACTCGTCTCCGGCTCTCTTTTTTCCTCTGAAAATCTTGAAATTCTTGTTTCCTATATTTTTTTTTTACACGTCGACACCTCGGCGCCATATGTTTACGACTCGGCGCGCTGTCCATTCGTCCTTATCTCTCCGGTTTCTCGTGCGGCGACGTGATCGGCTTTGCATATTATCAGATGAAAATCTCAATGAGACTCGTGAAAATCCATCCTTGGCGAATTATAGATGGACACGACTCCTCCCACTCACTTTACCGTGAAATCGGAGCATTCCGCTGGCCCCGATTGTGACGCAATATTCACCCGCCGAATCTTTTCAATCACGTGAACCTCTTTTCGAAGTTCCTCATGCTCCTTCGGGTAAATAAGAATCTTGCAAGCGCTCAAGGATCCAATCTTCCAGAGCAGCGTGGGCGAAATGCAGTTCCTTTCGTTACGTAATCGAGACCGTGCACAGGAAAGACGAGCCTGTGCGGACGTATCGCTTGAAAAACGACACAATATCCTTCGCGATAGGCGAAGACAGCTCGCAACGTGCAAGTGTTAAATCATTTTTATAGTTAGACCGTAACGATCATCGGGGCAAAACTCGTGCGATAAATTATCTAAATTTCACCGAAATTCGTTCGAGATCGGTTAATCTATTCTAACTTTGAACGACGGTATATCATTGTCGTTACGCTGTCATTGCGCAACATATGGTAGAAAAGCTGCGCATCAACAACGTAACGATAACGACATTCATTAGACTGTCATTAGAAATTACACAGCAGCCCTCTTATTCTGTAACTAGTGACGAAAATTTCGTTGCCGTTAATTTCGCTCAATTAATCATCACCAAATTTTGATATCGTTGCGCAGCCACATTGAAAAAAAATTGCCAAGTTCAAATAAACTAAGGATTAAGTGAAACATTACTTGAATGTGGCACTTCTTTCTCTTCAGTGCGCCACATTCAAGTAATATTTACTTAATCCAAATAAAATAAACCACTCCAACACTCCTTAGCAGATATTGATTTGAACATAGCAATTTTGTTCAGTATTTATGAGACATTTTGCCCGCGCCAAGATTTGCAACGGCATGCGGCTGTGACGAATACGTGAAAAGTTACAGAATAAAAGTGCGGAGGGCTAGAGTTCGGTCTAACGGCAGCGAGAAATTCGGCAGGGAGATGGCAGCTGGCGCGTTCATTGCTGCACCGGGCACCTGTTGACGATTCGTGGCGGTTGATGTAGCCGCGCGTTCTCCCCGAGCCATGGTCCACCATGCCTTGCCGGTTGCAAAGCGACGACGACAGTTGCTAGGCGAGGTCAATGGCAGCGCGATGGTGAATGGCTTAGCGAATAGTTCCATGCGCCGTTGCTGAGCCATCGGTCGCGATTTACCGATGGGATTAACTAGCGCGCGGCTGTTCCAGCGTGAAATCGCTCTCGACTGCTGCCCGGACGGTTTCCCCCCGTCTTCTCCTTTTTCTCCTTCTTTCTTTTCTTCTTCCGAAACATGCGATCGTTATTTGCTCGCTAGCTAGCTGGCTCCGTTCCATCTCCGTCGCGAATGTCGCGACTTGCCGAGGAGAATCGCCGCATAGCGACTCGCACTCGACGCAATTCGCGAAGAATTCCGCGGCAGGAATTCACCGATACGCGTGGACGTACGCCGGAACGAGCGTCGCGAACGGTATTCGCGGCCGTTGCGCAATGCGAATTGACTCAATGGCTCTAATTTTCGCATTGTTATGTTAATTGCGAGCGAGAAGCACGACCTACATTATAGCAGCTAATCAATTTGCCGCGCAACGAAATTAACGCCGCGATCGCGACCCGGAGATCCCGAAGAAGAGTTCCTCTCGCGCGACGAAGAGGAGGGAGGGGAGGAAAGCTGCCGAGAGGCTTCTCCGAGCGTTTCGAACACTGCGAGAAAAGTAATATTTGTAACTGTAATCATTACAGTGAAAGAATTATAGTCAAGAGAACTATTTTTCTAATAAGTATTACTATAGCGTCAGTGATAATAATCTTACGTGCACGGCGAAAAATAATTTAGCATGGCAAATTTTACACTGTCGCAGCAAAATTTGTCAGTTATTACTGTGAACAGCAAAATGATTGGTTAAGAATACTAAATGCCATTCGATGGATCTACAAATTATTTCGCTGTAAGAAGAAATAAGTAAGTATAGGAAACACTTTTGTTCTAACAGCAAATTAACGTGTCCTGAGGACAAATTCACTCAGCAGAATATTTTCTACCCTGGCAATAAAAGTGTCTCTGCTTCGATCACGAATAATTCCCTGATTTGGGATTATGCCAACTAAATTCTATCGTTGCGCAATAAATATGCGATAGCAACGATGGCTTCGCTACAACAGCAAAATTTTTTCTTTTTCCGTGTGCATATTATCAGTGTTGTAACAGATATATTTTTTTAAGTAACTAAATACAGTCATAAGTTTGAGGCTAATAATTAAATATAGATACATATACTATGAGAATATATCTAGATTTACTTCATGAAGTATATTTTCATACTAGATGTATTTAAATCTAATTATTTACCTCTAAATTTATGTCTGTATCTATATCTACTTACATTTCCCTCTCAGTGTCTGTATCTAGTTACTTCAAAAAAACATCTATAAATATATTACACTATTTTCGCATATCATTACTACCATTTTCGCGGTTAAGACAATAAAAAGAGGTGTGATTGGAGCTGAAAATGATTGAATTTTCTTTTAATGAAGGCTTTGATACTTTCCCATACGCACGATTCGGAGGCTGCTGAGAACTCGGGCGAGAAAGAATCGCGCGTATCGAGTGTCAAAATGCGACGATACGTTGTTGTGATTCAACGAGAAGCGAGATAGTATAGCGTTTTTTCGAGGAGTGTCCTAATTAGCGAGAATTAACGAATGTATCGGAGTCTTATCCGAGCGAGATTCATTCTCCGAGCGATTAAATTCCCCGACTGGTATCGAAGGATCGTCGTTCTGGCGACCGTTCTGGCTCGCAGACATAATGAAGTAATTGACGTGGAAATAAGGATGACATCAGCACACGATGGCGTTAGTAGATTCGTTGCGACGATCTCGATCTTACGCTGCAATTCTGAGCAAATTTATGAATAAATTGTAAAATCGTAACATACGAGGCAATCGTAAGAGTCGGACTTATAGTTTTACGTAAATTGCAATTACCTACTAACTTTGTACTATTCATCGTTATATGTTCATGGTTACGATGAGTGACTAATTCAGATATACAGGATGTCTCAACGTAAGGAGGACCTATATGTAACCTGTCATTTGAGAGTTGCGCATGATTACGCGTAAAGAAAGATTATCGACTTCTTGATACGTTTAGTATGTATGTAGCACTGTAGTACTTTAGTATGTATGTATGTAGTACTTGAAGTATTTACTAATTATTAAGTGTTTTATGTGTAACTTTAAAAGTTTTTACTCATCTTTTTTGACAGTTTACTAAGAGATTTCCCATAATATTTGGGAGGAAAGACTTAAAAATTTATTTGTGAAATATAAGGTTGGTTTTATGAAATAAACGTTTGTGTAAATACGGCGAGATAAAATTTCATTCCCGGTGAATAAACCAATTAATAAGAAAACTTCGGTATATTTCACAAAAATATATATTCCGTCACTACGGTCATATTTTTCTCTAATCAATAAATATCAAAGAAAACGTCACCAGAAACACTTACTTCGCAAAATTTCAATTTTCTCTTCTCAGTGTAGTTCCGATCATAGGTTCTTACGAGTTTTATGGAAATAAGTTACGAGTCTTACGATTCAGTCTAGAACCGCAGCATCAGTGTCTCACTGATTGTATATTTTACCAGCATGAATATGTACAAGTAATTTTCTCTCTCTCTCTCTCTCTCTCGTTTACGAGGAACGATGCCCGGCGCAGCGATCTCTTCTTCGTTTACTGTGTGATGTCATCGGTGAGAAGTGACCGCCGAGTACACTGCCGGTAGCGCAGGTGACTATTTATAATCGTTACATGCGTAACGCGTAACTCCGTCCGCCGAGTTATGCAAAATGGAAGACGGACGACCATTGGAATCTCGCGGTTATCGCGTGAGACTTTTTACAGCGCGGCCTCGGAATTAATATCTTGCGATAGGCTTTTGCGCAACGAGAGCGCAAAACGACAGTCGAGTGTCTCTTTCTTCTTCGCAAAAGCTGTGGCATACCTCGAATACTACGAGCCATGTTCGAGGTATGAGGAAGAGCTTTGGAGGACGCGGGGCGGACACGCGGTGGATGATCGTCGATTATCGGTTATTCCGTTACGGATCGGGGAACGCGAGTTTATTGCCGCCGTGATCTCTCAGTGGGACAGAAATAGCCGTTTGCTCGCTCGAAGGAGGATCTCGGCGGGAAAATTACGTCGCTTATTGAACGCGTCACGCATACGAGGATTTACGAGCGCGTAATTCGATCGACTCGGGGTGGTTCGAGCGGTGGTGACTCTTGCGTAACATTACCCAAGGTATCGGAACGATTAATAGTCGATAGTCACGATGACGCTGGCACGTCGTCAAAGTTGCTCGGTCGCTCATCATCATGCGAATATTATCACCGGCCAATGTTACGGCCGGTGACTCATCCTCGTCGGCGTCGGTTTTTGCGAATCGCGTGCGCCATATGTGGCCCGATTGCACCGAATGACCTTTGTAGGCCCGTCATTAAAATATTACGATCGAATCACGGGATATGTAACACATGTATCACGTAAGCGACACGCGGCACTGCGCGATTGCTGATCGCCCCCGCGATATCGATCGACGAGAGTCCTGCATTGTCCTACTTTCGCGTCTATTTCGCCGGCCTGGCGTCAAGATGTCTCGATTCACCGGACGCCCGGCGCCTCGTCCTATTTTCCACGACGTGAAGGACACGTCGGTTGATAGCGAGCGCGATTTACTAGCGCCGGTAACGCGTCGCTCGCAAAACGCAAGATGTGGTAGCGACGAGAGACGAGTTGTCACGCAATAAAACCGAGGTTTCAAATGGCCCTTCGCGTTTCAGCGCTTACCACCGAGGACAAACTGGAGTATCACTTCTACCCGGTGACGGCCGGGCAGATACAATTCCGGGTAAAAGCGGCCAACGATGCTCACATCGCTCTCACGACCGGTCCTCAGGAAGGAGATCCGATGTACGAGGTGAGACACTGTGTTTTGCGCTTTTCTACACGCGTACACACCATTTCGACACAGCACGAAGTTCTAAAAGACTTCTTAAACCGTAAGTGGGCGCGTGAGGGTCCAAGTACTGACGCATAAACAATCGAATGTTTTTCCGTTTCGTTTTTGCCTGTGACATTGGCGCCTTCGCTAACTTCTCCACTGCTTATTCTTGGCTTTAGCGAAGTAGCGTCGATAACAAGGATCTCAGTTATGAACAACAGTTGTTTTATTCCTCAAATAAGTAACGTACGGATTAAAGATGTCTGAGAGACATCTAAAAAAAAAATAGAACGTCTTTTCAACGCCTTTAAGACATCTTTTAGAAATTCGTGCTATCCGGATGGGTCTCGGACGCCTTGAATCTTCTTTTCCTTCGATGCAGTTTGAAATGCAGTCGATGGTCCGATGAGAGAACTTAACTTCCGAATTAATCAAAACCTCAAGATCTTTTGTTATAGATCACTGGCTGTGTTCCGAACTGCATTTGGACCTTATGTGTAACGACTTTTGACTGTAGCTTAGCGCGGGTATTGAATTTGCTGTCAGCATACATTTCGTACACCGTTTGATATATTATGCCGGTATTCACAGTCAAATATATATAAGATCGTTTCAAGTTTATCTTCAGATGCTTTGTAGTGAACGAAACGATCCGTGGTGCAGTATCCGAAAATGAACTTGGGACGACCTTGTTTATGAGATCTGCCTATAAGCATCGCTCTACGAGTCACCGGATATATTCTTGCTCATGTTTCATGATTTAAGAGACGCGAAACCTCTCTTCGCATCGGTAAATTCATCGACGTGTAATATCGAACGGAAGTGTCTATACATTATATACTCGCCACTTCCTAAATCCGTCAACACGAAAGAAACTCTCCGTCCAGTGCTGTGCGTTGTCGATGGGCAAATTAGAACACAACAGAATCGTGCTTCCTTTCAGATCTTCATCGGCGGATGGAGTAACAGCAAGTCGGTCATACGCAAGAACAGAACCAAGCCGGATGTGGCGGAGGTGGAAACACCCGGGATCCTCAGCGGTGATGACTATCGCGGCTTCTGGATCAGGTGGGCGCTCGTATTTTAGACTCATTAGAGAATCGCTAAGACGCGCCTGTACATGCGGCCATGCGTCGTTTATTCCGTCTCTTAATTCGCGTCGATTACGTGTCTCGTGTTCCGTCGGCACCAGGTGTACACACGGACACACACAGGCGCACATCGAGAATCGCTTCGAGAATCGAGGCGCGTGTAACGTTAGCAACATTCTTCATCCGCTTTGTGAAATCCGCAGGTGGGACGACGGCACCCTCACGGTGGGCAAGGAGGGCGACTCGGGTCCGTTTTTGTCCTACGCTGATCCGGAACCGTTCGGGATCGGCTACTTCGGCGTCTGCACCGCCTGGGGTGCCATCGGTGATTGGCTCATTGAAGGTAAGCGCGTTGTGCTTTCTTCGTCTTCTTTTCTCTTCTCCTCCTCTTCGGCGATCTGAGGACGCGCACTGTCCTCCCGGAACTTCTCTCGCTTTCGTATATATTTTCGCCTCTGATACACTTTGTTTCACAGATTGTAGTCTAGAAAGTAGACACCCCCCCCCCCCCCCNTGATGTAGTAACGCAAAGAAGAGAATTCGTGCTGTAAATCAGATCAATTTGTAGGAATTGAGCGAACCATCCCGTTTTCCTTTTGCCGTTTCGGTTCCTCCACTGCACCGCAGGTTGACTTAACTTGACTTTCTGATTTTCCGATTATTTCCCCTTCCCGGCATCTCTCTTTATTGCGACGGTTCATGGATGATCTGCTAACGCGTCGCGGCTCGCACAGCCATATGCTGCGGAGGTTACGGTGGTTGTACGTAATGTATTTTGAAGCCTACACGAAAGATCTTGCGAGAGCGTTTAGTCGCACGTGCCGTCCCTTAGGTTCTGCTTTTCTGTCCGAGTATGTTTGACTCCATCCTAGCACGTGTATATTATACCACCCCATCGCGTGGTCGATGCTGGATTAAAGACGGTCATCTCATAAAGTTCATTGTGTCGCGAAACCGGGCGATTCGGACTTCTGGGAAAACACTCGCAGCATTTGATTAATCCAGCACATCGACGCGCTGCACGATTCAGACCAGGGGCACCCATCACAATAGACCGACTTTTTTTTCTCACACACACACATACATACACACACATGTCAGTCGATATTCAGGCGAGAATTTTCGAGTCTACTGCTTTTTGCGCTTTTGCTTGGCAAAAGAGCAATCGAGCGGAAGCGGATGCAAGAAGTAGCATTCGGGAGATTCCTTCGCTCGAGAGGAGAGCAGCGTTATCGCGACGTTGGTTACACTGGTCAACAAATCTCGTATCATCAGGTTGTATCTTCTTTAAATTTTAATTCTTTTTTCTACTTATACCTTTGTGTTGAAATGGAAAATGACGATAAAAAATAATTTAGTTATGGTTACAAAGAAATCTAGGTTCAACATGATGTATTTTTACTATAATTTCTTATTTTTTTAATATTTTATGCTGTCGGTAAAATTGACAATATGAAGACTAAATTTCCTTCTAAGTGTTATATTATTAGGCGTCTTTTAACTCTTAAATGCATGAATTTTTTTTTATTACTGAATTATTTTTTTTTTTTAGGTTCATAGGTAGTCCCAGAAAATGAGAAAAATATTTTAAAAAATCTGAGGCATATGTTGAGCATTGCCTTTGTGCCTTTTGGATTGTATATTTCGTTCTAAGAAAGAATTTGGTCTTCCACGTTTAGCTGTGTCTTTGATCTCGACAAAGAAGAAAAATAAATATGTTGCAAATTTGCAACACTATGCATTTAAGGATTAATGGTCTCCACATAAAGAACGTTACACAACGAAAGAATAGAAATAGAATCTATCTTCCTACAGGATATTATACATGTTTCATTCGTAAACTCTTTTAGGCCTGCCATACACACCATCTTAAGATAAAAAAATTAGCTTTACAAGAGACGATTTTGAAGATATTCCTTTCCACGCATCACGCAAGCCTCAAATATCAAATTCCTTTTTGAATGTCGTTTATCATATTATGGAAATTAGAGCTACGTTTTGATTATAACTGTTATATTTGCCATTAACGCCAAGAAATAAATCCAGAATGTAAGTTTTGCTCATCGGTATTATCGAAACGTGCTGCAATTTAATTTAATTTATACAATAAATACAATTACAGTTTGAAATTCGTAAGATATTTCACGCGACAATTGTGATCATTTTATTTGCACGGTCCATTTCGTGACTACGACTATAATTTGACTTTTAATTTTTTTTTTCTTTCTCTCTCTCTCTCTCTCTCTCCACACTCGACAAGGTCACCGCAACTCCTTGAACACCCCTAACAAGCTAGAGTACAAGTTTCATGCCGTGCGAGGCGGCTCGGTGCTGATCGACGTGAAAGCTAAGAGCAACGGGCACGTCGCGCTGACCAACCAGAAGGGCGAGTCGAGCCCCATGTACGAAATCATACTCGGAGGGTGGGAAAACACGGCGTCCGTTATTAGATACGATCGCAAACAGCCCGACAAGGTTTGAGAAGTGGCCTCGTTAATTTCGATGAGCGGCGAACGGTAACGCGCACTCGGGACCGCTCGCTCCGGCGAGCGTTCCGAATGTGTGTAGCAGTTAAGCTAAGCGTTTCTCGCGACAAACTTGCTCGCCGCCGTCGTCGCGCACTCGTACCAGCTCTCACGTGGAACAAACATTTGTCTCCGATGTCAGGTGCGCGTGGACACGCCGGGTCTGCTCAGCGAGCACGAGTACAAGAGGTTCTCGATCACGTGGTTCGAGGGCCTCGTCACGGTGAGAACGGGCGGTCAGAACGGTGCTGTCCTCATGAAATGGCATGATCAGTCGAATCCCATCGGCGTGGGCTACGTGGGGGTGCGCACCGCTTGGGGTGCGACCGGGAACTGGAAGCTCCGTTTCGAGCAATACCCCGCAGTCGCTAGCGGTCAAAAACGTAATGATCTGCCTGGAAAGCAGGGAAAAAAGACGAAAGAAATAAAATAAGAACAAATGCTCCGTCTCGGCGATCCGAGATCGACGTTAAATGTCCGAGCGAGCGGCGCGCGTTGCCACGCAGAGTCGCGTAGTCGATCGGCATTGGCCGATCTCGCGGTCGTTGAACGATCGATTCTCTCTCGCTTGGCTGCGACGTACCGCTGCAAACTCTCTTGTACGCTCCTTCTCGTGCACGCGGGCTCTTTCCGTGGCTTTCTCGAAAACCCCGCCTGAATTCAACTTAGCCTGAGACACTCGGTTTAACGAGCGAGCCTCGGATCACCTTTTTTCCGCTTCGTAACTCGACACGCCATTCAAAGCATTTGGCTGGTATTTGGTTCTTACTCTTATAATCATTCACTAGGAGAAACCCAGTTAGCTGAATCAACGAAACACTTGTTCAGGTATAGATGAACAAATGGTTCGGTCTTTGTTGTTTAAGCTTAACCTGATGATATTGTGAAAATTATGTTTCTCTGTTCATGGTTAATCGTGAAACTTTAAAAGTCACCGCTACAAAACCATCAGTTTAATGATTGAATGAACCTAGAAGATCAAAAACCGGGTCCGAGATGGTTTCCTGAGCCAAATGTTTCGGTTCTCACAAACGAAAACATTTGCTTGTCCATATCCAAGAAGGAATTTCGTTGATTCAGCTAAATGGGTTTCTCAATACCATTTCAACTGGCACGGTATTAACCGCACGGGAAATGACATGTGCACGTTTGCATGTTAGTTTCGCTTGGTAAGGTAGGCAGGATCTTTATTGTTTCTTTTCGTTTCAACGCTTCTTTTGGATTATATCAGTGTGACTCTCGTTCACGTTCGCGCAACGTTCGTTAAACGTGAAAACGCCACCACGCAGATCCCGGTGCCACGCCGTCCGCGCCGTTGGAAGTCCGCGCGCTCGGCGCGGGAAGCGAGTGCTGGTGCGATGCGTCCGGTGGAATGATACCACCGGCTGCGGTCGAGGGTGGAAACGACGGCGAGACCTTGTTCGTCGGTAGGGCCCGTCACGAGGGTGCTCTCATTCCCGGCAAGGTGAAGCCCAGCCACTGCGTCTGCTACGTCCCCTGGGGTGGCGAGGAACATGGGAAGACTGATTATCAGGTGAGCGAGTGTGAATCTTGTCCAGGAATAAATCAGTCTTGAAGACGTCTACGCGGAAAGAATAACCCTGTTGTGGTGTAACTGAATTTTCTGTTACCAGATGAACCTGGAGATGAAAAAACCAGATGAAAACTCGGTTGTAGGAACGGAAAGATTCTGAGCGGCACATATTGTTCGGCTAATCGTTATTCAATGTTTAAACCAACGTTGGGCAACGGTTAACCAATTAATTTGTGCTGCCCGGGATTCCTGTGGGAGGTTTCCGCTCAGTCAATTGCTCTCACTTGTCTCAACTAGAATCCTAGATATAGAGAAGCACAACTGAATTCGATATGTCGAAAGTTCACCATTTTCTTTGCACACAGAAGAAAAGATTTCTTTGAATTTAGTATACGTGTTTATTTGATACATGAATTTGTTTTATATAAACACAATTAATATCATCATTTTGTTTGAAAATGTTGTTCTATTAGAGTAAACCATATTGTTTGATATAAAAAAAAAACAGTATCATTTGGAAGAAATAATATTTTGTCTTCAAAGAAAAATTATTTCATTATATATTAAATGTTGTTTCACCGAAACAAAGAAGTTCGCATTCGTTGCTTTGAAAGTCCGTTCTTGAATATTTCTCTAACATAGTGTTACTTCAACTATTCCAGGTTCATATAGCGCATCTTGTGCTGAAGTTGTCGCCTCTAAAATATCGATTTGATGGTTGCCGATAACATATTCTTTTCTCCCGGGATATCTTTTGCGCTCAGAACATTTTCTATTTTCCTTAAGTCTCTCAAATCGTTTTTATCACCCATAATTCTTTAAGAAAAGAAAAATAATATAGAAGTGAACGTTCGACTGCACAGCTCGACATCAATTATACTGCCAGCGTCTCCGGGTTTCGCATTCGTTGGTTTGAAAGTCCGTTGAATTTGTTATTAAAATATCTTAGAAGACCCTCCACATTTACTAACACAAGTATATACTTTAGTAACATACAATAGATGACGGGCAGGTAAAAAAGGGACGATATTCGTCCCTCGTGCAGCTGCCGGCGCTATACCTGCACAGAGCGCTTGGACGAATATATACTCAAAGTCGTACATCTTCGTAAAATTCAAGCAGATCAACTTCATTCAACATTATATATTTCAGGGAAATGTGGTTCTTGAAAAATTGATTTTTTTCAAAATCTCTGACCAGGCATAACCCCTTAAGTCACATGATTTAGAGAGCCAATTCAAATTAACTTTCTCCATTGCGTTTCTTTATTTATATCTGGGATTTCAGTCTCAACCAAATTTTAATGCAACTGAATATTCACACGAATATTCTCAGTCGCGGTAACAAAGACATTTCTCGTCACCGAGTTTTCTGGTTCCTCTCCAGTTGCAGAAATTAAGTTTCTTTCCCGTGTGAAAGACGTTTGAGGGATTTCTCTTTTTTCTCTATATTTCTCTTTCATCTTTCTAATTTTCATATTGCCTACTTTCAGGTTCTTTGCGGATGCAGTCCAAAGTGGGTGCCAGTGAGCGGCGGCAACATCCCGCAGAACGCGATTCCGGGAGGCGAGACCGAAGACGGTGAGCCGCTCTTCGTCGGCCGCGTGCAACACGAGGATACGTTGACCATCGGCAAGGTGCAGCCCTCCCATAGCGTGTGCTACATACCTTTTGCCGGCTCCGAGATCGCTTTCCCCGACTACGAAATCCTGGTATCGCAGTAAACGGTCGAGAAACAATCCGGCGAGGAAATCGATGGAAGCCTGCGGCTTTATCGGCAGTTCTGCAGAAAAGCGCGAAAACAGTCTCGGCCTCGCGACCATGCAGCCAAAAATATGAGATGTGTAGTTCTAGGATCAAATTATTGTATTTACATAAACGATGAGAAACATTTTTCCGACTGATCTTTTACTACATATAATTCTCATTGCTTTCCGTTGCTTGTCACGTTCATTTTATTGTTTCAACGCCGTGACGCAGATCCAGCGTGTTGCACTTACCCGCCGTTAATTAACCTCATCTTTGCGTTAAGAATGAACGTTGCGTTAAAGATATTTCTTTGCCGTTTATTGCGTTTAACTAACGACGATATGAACAAAGTATAAAATTACATGTATCGATAGGACATGTGATAATAAAATAACATTTTTAATTGAATATATAAACACATGACGTCCAGAATATCATCGTGCGTTTTCTGTTTGCCAACAGAATTGTATACACTGTTTACCTCTTTTGTAAATTTCGAGTTTTGATTTATCCTTTTGAATAAAAAAAAGAGCTCTAGTAATCGTAACAATGTACGCGATGCCTGGAACATTCTTTTATACGTTGCATAACTCACGTCACAATTTACAAAACAAACTTGATTGTTTGTCCATTTGATTTGATTACTACGTTGCAATGTGAGAACGTGTACTGAAAGTAGTTGGTCTGTAAATTAATTTTCTTAGAAATCTTAATCTTTCAAATTTTAACAGCATATTAGTCGAAACATGATTTATCATATGTGAAATTGGAAAAGTTTGACCTTAACGAAACTGAGGTAATTGAAGTCAAAGTTGGTACTATTTATATGTATCACAGATACGAAAATAATTTTCGATGTTACGTGTTTACTTCTAACAATCAAACTATTCTTATGATTTGAATGAAATATAAGAAAACGATAAAAAAGACTTGTAGAAATATTGGACTGTAAGATTAATTTAGTTTAAAATTATCTAAACCAGAACTAGTTAAAATTTAAATTGATATTAAATTAACTTATTAATGTTAAAAGTTAATTATGAAAAGTTGTATATACATATACATACATACATACATGCATATATATATATATATCGATTGCAAAATCGTGGTAAAACCAAAAAGAAAACTCTTCACTACTGCATATTTCCTAATAAACAATCTTTTTCAACATATTTGCCAAGAAATTTACGACAAGTGATTTATCGCTTCGATCCTTTTGCGTATTTAAAAGCCCTCTTAAAATAAAATTGTAGACAAAGGCCAAGACGCCTTATGTCTCGATTTTGAATATTATACTGTCTAAGTAGTTATTAACCAACCCTGTGTAAATTATAAACATTTAGCACAGTTTTGTTGAGCTTCTAACACTATTTTTATGGATCAACTGCCTTAATTTTTCACGATCCTACATCCAGTCGACGTTGTCGTCGCGTTGTTCTCTAATTGAGGCAATAAACTAATTTTGTGCACATTAATACTATACAAATACTCAACTATACAATACTCACTATACAAATACTCAATATGTAAGAGTATAAATAATATAGATAGGCCATTAAAACTACCGACGATTAACGTGTACCTTCCTATCGGAGCGGTTTAAATGAAATTTCTAAAAAAGATACGCGATGCAAAGGGAAAAATATTTATTCGTTTACACATTGCGACAAAAATTACGGTTAATCTCAGGGAGGATGTACCATGAGAAGTTGGAGTAACTTTTATAAGAAGAAAAGGTTACAAATCGGTCATTTTGTGACCGCCTCGGTAGTTTTAGCGTTAAAAATAAGCAAAATTGCGCGATATCGTCGCGAAGTAACTGAATTTGTATGGATCAGCTTTCCGACAGAAACGTCGACGATGACTCAAGCCACAAAAAATTAAATATACTGTAAACGCCTGATGAATGTTAATGAACGATGTGTCAGCAGCATGCGGCAAAAGCGGTCGTAAATTTTTTGCTGCATTTTTATTTCCTCGCCCTTGCCGACCCGTACCTCCTCGCGCACGATGACGTATAATGCTCGCATTATCATTGTCGCGAGTCCGGATAATGAGATAATCGCTTCTTTGTCTCCCTTTTCTTCCGTTACTGCTGATAATTGCCGGCTTTCATGAAGTAAGGAATGAAAAAATGTCTTACAGAGAAGGACAGTTGTGTCTCGGAATGCGTCACGTCAACTTCCACATTTATTTCGACATGTATGTAAAAAAAGTGATATGCTTAAATAATACAACAAAATCTGTTAGCGACTGTTACGATGAGATTATATATCTGACTTTATACAAGTGCTTTTTCAAATGGCAGATATATAGCGAATCGATTTTTATTTGTTTTATACATTAGTAGTTATTTTTATTAAAATATGAGTAACTAAGTTTTATAGTTCTTGTTGTAACAATATACCTTTTTCAAGCATATTAAATTACATCAATATTCAATAAGCTCATAATTCGTCGTTGAAGTCTAATTGATACCGCCGTAGTGTCCGCGTTAAATAAATAAAACCGGTTTAGTGTAACGACTGAGAGTTACATCAGTGTGTGTATGTGTGTGTGTGTATGGGGGAAAATAAACATACTCCTCTAATCTCCGGTGTTGCACTTCTTGTACAAATATATCGGGCGTATCCCGCATCCCGTCCGGTATCGTGGGATTCTCAATTGCAACACCATGGAGAACGCAAAGGTTACCGGATGAAAGTGAGTCGACGCCGCCCATGGGGCACGTGATTGTGCTCGCATTAGCGAAGGAAATTGCTATGCGAGATACTTGGGCGTTGCACGAACCAGCGAGATGAAAGTCACTCGATTCTAAGCAGCTTCGGCATTTCATCTTTCGTATGAGGCCGAAAAATAGATACGTCATCCGAAACTTACTCTATTATTGCAGCTAAAGAATATGTATCTCAGAAAATTTTAAAAGCTTTCTGTGGTGCGTGTGTGTGTGTGTGTGTGTGTGTGGTAACTGATAATATAGTATATTATACAAAGATGAGGATAATATCCTACATCCGATCGAGCACATGTTAAATTCATAATTGATCGGAAGCTTCACTTAAGAAGTAACCACGAACACTACTTTGAAATGAATATATCTCGCACGCAAGATACGTATCTCTCTTATTATATTCGTATGACGAGTTTCTGAATTTCTCCTGATTCGATCAGCGTGCATTCGGATTATTTATTAATTGTGCAAATTAATTCGGTGCCTTTAGTTTTTCTCATTCCCGTAATATGCATTCTAAATCTAAATATTTTTCCGCCAAATTGTAGTTTTAAAGAGCTCCCGTCTATGTTTAAAAACACCGCGCAACATCGCAGAATGATCGACGTAACTTCAGAAAATGAATCAGAAATGAACAGTATTGTTATCAGTAGGGCGCATATTCGGCAGTACATTCCTTTTGTATGTCAACTGCAAAAAAATGATCCTGAAGTCGCAAGAACAATTTGTTTAACTCTTGACGGGGACGCAATGAATCATACAATTTGTAAAAAATGCTAACAGAGTTTTCGAGAAAATTTCAAAGAAGAACGCTCGACCTCACGCGATAAAAGGGACAAAAGACGCTATTTTTAATATTTTTAATATAAGCTGAGAAGAGTGTTATACTGCAGCAATATTAATTTACTGTCCTTTGTCTCTTCAGATCTTCATCTGTTTCTATCGCGACGGAATTCGATAGCTGTCCGATAAGCGGTCTAAAGTCATCGATGGTAATGGAGATCATTTCGATAATTAAAATGGTACCTTTTCTACTGGGAAAATATCTGGATTTTTGATAACTGAAGCACCGAATTAATTTGCACTCAACTGTTCTCGAAACTACGTATTTCGTTCGACCGAGAGTTTCATTGGTCCCGTTACAGAGGCGTCGTTGTGTTGCTCGCAGTTTACGTTCACTTACGTGTCGCTTAGTTTTTGCTGAATGAGTAGGAGAAACCGTCGGGAGTCCGATTGAAGTCGAGCTTGCCCGGTGGGTAAAACCTGCGGGATGCCGGTGTCGTTAACGCATTGTACTGCGGCGCCGGTCGAACTTGGGGCTGATGATGCGCATTTGCAGTCGCGTACGAAGGTATAGATTGCAATTCTGGGGGATGATGGTAGCGAGGCTGCGACTGCGGCTGTAGCTGTGGTTGTGGCTGCGGCTGAGGCCGGTACTGATGCTGCAATTGAGGCTGGTAAACGACAGGCTGCTGCGGTTCGTAATCCGGCTGATAGCGTTGCGAGTATTGTTGAGGGGTTGGCGCGTAGCTCGGGGGTTGATGATCCGGCGGATTGTACCGCTGCAGCGGCACGTACTCCGGTTGGGGTGGTACCTGCGGGGGTGCGCTGGGAATGTGGTCCCCAGTCGGCTGCGAAACGAGTCACGAGATGCATCGTTTCAATTCCCATCGAGAAATGAAGTACAAAAAATCCGACGTCATGATTTTTGTTTTCATTACTCCAGAAATATACGTTTGTTTATTGGGGCACGTGTGATATGTTCGCAGACACGCCTGACAGTCGGGCAGTCAACAATATTATACGTCCAAATGCGAGAAACAATGATTTCTTTACAAGTCTTTAAACATTATAGATTTGTTTGACCGACATTATATAAGTTTGACCGATATTTTCTTGTTATAACGTCAAAGTTTATATCACAAACGGCTTTGTGAATCTTCACAAATCACCGGAAAATAACTTAGCGCAGATTTGTCGAGCTTCTTCGCGTTGTATCAAGCATTACCTTTCTAACATTACTGTCAGGTAAGCAATTACCTGAATTTCGCGTTTCAACGAGGTGACTCGTTCTTAAATTCAATCGCCAATTTACCTTCCACGCACTGTTAACATTCAGTTATTTCTACCAACAGTGAACATCGAAGTTGAATTTCGGCGAGCGGCGTCCCGGAACTAGAGATTTCATCGGGAAGGCGCGTTCCGCCTACCTGGAATCCGTTCTTTCCTGCCGTGTAGGTCACGGTGCGCCTCTGTCCGGTCGGGTCGACGTACGAGTACGACCCACGCCGGTCGCCGTTCACGTCGCTCTCCTCCTTGAACACCACTCCGTCTTCTTGGGAGTACGATGCGCCGAACGTGCCGTCACCCGCGAGATATCGCGTGTCGCTCAAAATCGCCGCTTGATGCGGCGACTGATAGTGAGCCCCTTGACAGGACACGCCAGCGATCGCACCTAGCAGAATGATCTGCGAACGATAAACGCGATTTAAGCCTCGGAATGCCGAAAATACCGGCGAATTGGCGGGATACGCGTAAGATACTCTCACTTTGACATATATGTATATATTACATAACTGTGTAATTATATACAAATTTAACTGCGTTAACGATCAAACCGTATATTATCGCGTCTCCTTATATAATTACATTGTTATTTTATTTCAACGAAATGTTACAGACGATTTATCCGACAATCGTGCGATCTCAGAGTAAGCGCGGGCACTTGCGAGGACTTACGAATGCAGCGCGCATGATGAACGAGGAGTAACGGATCGTTAGGCAGCGGGAAGCGCAGCAGTGCTCCAGGAGCCAATGAGAGGGGCGTTTTATACAGCGGTTCAGGGCGACCCGGCGAAGAGGCCTTGATGGTAGAGGCCCGGATCGCATCGGTCTTCCACCACGCCCCTACGGTGCGATTCCTGTAGAACCGAGTCCTCATACTTTCCCCGTGATAACTTGGGCTGACATTTCTTCCCGGGGTTCGCGAGGAAGCTGAACACCTTGATCGTGCGGTACATGCTGAACGTTCCAGATCCCCCCCCCCCCCCCCCCNCCCCCCTCCCCCGTCGTGAATGTCAATCGGCCTGTCGGAGATTTTTTGCAGGAACTGAATGATAAGGGCAACGGTTTTTGAGCGTTTTATCTTTACTTTTTATTTTTTAACGATGTTAAAACGATGTTAAAATAAAGACGACTTTGCGATTAATGACGGACTCTTGGATTAACATGAAATCGATTCTATAAAAAATTAATGATCTTGCAATTATAAACGATTGAAAAAGGACATTTTTTTTTTTTTATTAAGTTTCGCAGTTGTTAAGAAATAAGGAAGGAATTTGCCTTCATGAACTTGATTATCTCGCGGAAATTTATGGGGGATATTTTTCTCAAAATTAATAATTTATACAATAAAATAATAATTTATACAATAGTAATCGCGATTATACAGGGTGTCTGGTAATAGCAGCGGAATGCTCGTGTGCAGATATTAACTAATGACTGAAACTATAGGCAAGTAATAAAGTAAACCGTTGTAGTAACGGATAAGTGAGAAAATAAACCGCAGACAAATATAATGCTGTGTAAATAAACGTAGCGATAAAATCATTTCTTCGCCATCCATATTAGTTCCAAGAAGTCTAAGACGGGCCTAATGACAATTTTTGGTGTCCACTTTTCTGCTCGGAAACGGAGCCAGCAATGATCGCTTCCCAGCAAGGAACACATGTCTCGATACAACTCCAGTTGTATCATCATTTGTCCTTATCACATAACACATGACAAATGCCTTATTTTAACGCAAAATTTAGAGCGGACTTTCGGGGACATAATAATAAAAAACATATTAAAATCAACATTTTATTTCTCACTATGAAACTCGTGTTTGATTTGACTCAAAGGGGAAAATTCCCGCAGTAGATTATATACCGACGTTACCGCGGGACGCGGTTATCGACCAGCAGTAGATTATCGGAAGGAAAAGCCCGCGCGATTGAAGCTTCGGGCATTCTTCGGGATTGGCGTGCGCACAATTAGAAGCAATTACTTGGCAAGGAATATATATATCTCTTTACATATTCTCCCCTGGCTAAGCTCAAGTGTGCTAACGCGCGAATTAGTCACTTCCCTCTACTCATCGTAACAACTGGATCTTCAATTTCACCCGGCGAAGGCCCGCGAGATTACGATCGCGGTAACGGCGAGTTTTTACCTTCGTTAGCGCCAGATTAAAATCGATCGACGGCGCGAAACGCTGTATGATCGAGTTAAGTCGCTGCTTTTTAATTGCTCTCGATGGTCGCATACATTAATTCGTGGCATTTGCTTCGCCGGCACACGCCGGCCCTCGTCGCTTCCGATTTCCTCAATAACTCCGAGCGTGGCGAAAGTGCAGATCTCTCGCCGCTCCGCGGCCTCACGCGGCTATCGGCGCGCATTTTTTCCCGTTTACGATTATTTCTGCATCTCGCAATCGCGGCAACCGCGCGGCCCGCGATAAATACACGCGATTATAAAACTTCACCGTGGCGCATTAAACAGCAAAATGAAATATCCTGTTCCACTTTTATTTGTCGATGCGATTTTCCCGAACGCGTAATCTCGCCCCGCGAAATCACGCGGCAGACACGCCAGCTGGTCGCGCTCGCCGGACGAAAAGTTTTCCCGGCTTTTTCATCTGTCTCTCTTCTCCCCCCCCCCCCNCTCTTTCCCTCTCTCTTTTTTTCTCTTCCCGTTTCACACGAAAACTCCGATCCATCTTGTACGCACAAGTCGCTTTCTATGGCGCGGCCTGAGAAACTTCGCAGAAATAAATCCTACGAAACGAGATTAATCCATGCGTGCTATTTACGGGGCGTGGTGGAAGTGCGTCGGTCGGGAATATCACGGGGATCACCGAGGTCTCCCCCTCGGCCGAGCAGGGGGAGGAGGAAGTGCAACCACGTTCCTACGTTCTCGTGCGTGAAGTAATATCGTTTCCGGCGCGCAGCGCGGCGCAATATCCAGCGTCGCGGATACAAAGTGCAGTCCTCCTCCTGCAGCCGATCGCCCGGGATATAATTGACTTTCTCCGGCCCGTTTCCTCCTGTCAAATCCGTCTTTTTTTTTCCCTCCTGTCGTACCTCCTTTCGAATCTTATCGCGCGGGCTTTCCTCACCTGTGTTCGCGCTCGCTCGCGCGCGCGTGCGAACGACCGACGCTCGCGTTCCACGTGTCGCAACCGTTCGCCGTTCGCAATTTCGAAAATTGCCGTCAATTTGGCCGTCGCGAACGGAAAAAGAAAGGACGAGGCGGCGGCCGTCGTTTTTACGAGATTTTCATAGTTTCATTCGCGGCCTTTTCCTTCTCGCGAGTTCCCCGCCTCGGCCGCCTCGATTAGCGCGGAGCCCCCCTTCTAACAATCCTATGCATGTACTCGCCGATATTCTCTCCGTCCTTCTTTTCTTTCCTTCGCTCACGGTTAATAAGTTACCTAAACGGTTTCGCGGAAGGATCGCCTTTGGCAATCAGATATTCGAGTTCGTTTGCACGAGGGGAAGAATTCTAGATCTTATTCTTGAAGAATTACCGGTGCCTCCGCGTTGAAAGTAAAAAGCACTACGTTCGAATAAATGTCCGCCGAGGAATATTAATTATTTTACTTGGATCACAAGGAAATATCACTCGAATATTGCATTTCTCTTATTCAGTGTGCCGCATCTCAGTAATATTTATTTAAGGGATCGCAGGACTCTGACAGAAGCAAAAATTAGGTAAAATTTCGGGAGTTGTGAAAAGTTGTAAATTAATAAAAGTATGAATTTTTTTGTTACACATGTCTATTTAACACGTTTAACAAAAATGATTAGACTTTATGGCGAATATTAATATCACTGTGTCAATTTTAATTCTGTTTTGCTAAAGAATTATGCATCAATAGTAGTCATTCTGGCTTAAATGCACTTGCTACGTAAACGTAACAAAAAATTCATTCTTCTATTGATTTAACAGTTTTTTACAAAACTCCCCAAATTTGATCTAATTTCAATTTCCGTTAGGATCCCGTTAGTGATTCCGTAAGGAGATTGTAAGACTCAATATCGTATTTTCAGTGGAACAACAGCAGAGTCATTCATAAATTTAATATTTACCAGGCGAAAATTACCTTTCCACTCATTTACTTCACCATCTAAATTATATATATTAATTTGAAACAAAGTTGAATTAAACATATGCATACGTAATTTTTAAAAATACGTAAAATTATTAAAATTTTTAAAAATACATAAAATTATTATTCCAATACTCCTTAGGAAGTGTTCACTTTAATATTTCCCTCTTCAATATATACGACTTTAATCCCGCACCTTGGATATCAACCCGTACATAAAAGCATCACCAGCTGTGGCAAATTGGCCAGTGATAAATAATTGTTTTATTACTCATACGAATAACAAAATTACCGAGCAAACGATAACGTATCATTTGCCAATTTATCACAGCCGGTAATATTTTTCCGTAAGGAAGGGAAGAAGAAAGTCCGATGGAATATAACGATAACAATTTACTTTTAGTTTAGATAATAAAGAATCTTCGCGTGCGTGAAAATAGATGAAAAGTAACGGGATATCCTGTCCGGAGAACGTAAGAGAGTGATTTTAATTGGCTTAACGCGTCAACTCGTTATGTCGGAAGGTAAAGTTCGTTACTCATACGGTTGCGTTGCGTCGTCGTCGTATTAAGAGTTCGCGCGAGCGTCGCGCAATTATCTCGCAGCCGTTCGGGAGAGTTCTTTCTCCCCCCCCCCTTTCCGCGTGGCAGTAAAACCGACGCGGTCCATTATCTCGCGAAATTTATAGATCTGAGCTAAATAAATTTTTTTTCCTCACCGCCGCTCTTCCACCCCTCAATTTCGCCCGGGTTGGCGAACGGTTGCGGCCGGCTAATGACGCAGATCGGTGGTGTTTAGCACGACTGGGATCGTTTGCACGTCGTAAATTTAACCGTATGCAAGAGGCGGACAACGCGGTTGCCGCTTACGACACGCTCCTGCGCCGTCAAGGAATAATCCTTTCGGCCGGTCTCTTTCGACGAGATCGCCTGAGCGGAGGATACTCAGCTCTGAGCTTTCAGCAACATCGGGAACGTTCGTATTTCGCGTTTCAGTTCCGGCTCAGTCGGGTGTCGATCGACTTTCAAACGTGTACATTTCACACCAGAGAGGAATAATCAGATTTAATCAATTATATAATTAGTCAGTAATTTATATAATTTTATATTGGACGAGAAAAGTGAAAGAAATTAATAAGCTGAAGGAACAATATGGAGAGAGAGAGAGAGAAGAACTTAGAAATCGCGTTCACCGCTTTATGTAATGGGATCTCTTGATTAGACCGGTTGTTTTTAACCTTGTTTTGATGATTAATTCTCTCTCATTGTTGCGCAATCGCATCGATCGTCATTTCGCACGATTACACAGAAGGACTGACGAGCGGCTGGCAGTCGTTCGCAGAGCTGTGCGAAACAAGACAGCCTCGTTTCCAACTCCATTTTCACTCTATACAATTCCCATGTAATCCCGTACTTCGTTTTGATCGTAATAAGAATTATCACGGACGTTCGCTGGCGCGCTTTCTTCTCGCCTCCGCCTCGTCGTTACTCCTCATTTGAGACGATTTAACCGCGTACGAACTCTAACGGCCCAACCGTTTAACCGTTCTGAATACTGTTTTAGCTAAAGCGCACCTCGCCGATGTTCCTTGTTGCGTCACCTCGTAGCCTCATTAAAATCACACGGGATCCAACGGATTTCACCACACAGTTCTTGAAACCTAAAAAATCGATTCGGGGAACATGAGAATGCTGAGTCTACGCCGCTTTTGCGCCCAGTCCTAATCTTCTTGATAAAGAAACTTTTTTCCTGTTCAAGGATAATGCACTTCTACTGGTCCGGTTTATAGGATTCGTTCAGTTTTAGGATACATTGGCACTTAAGGAAGCTCCCTTTGAAACTCTTTTAATATTGACAGAAATTCTAGAAATTCGAATTATTTTCGGTTTAAAACGTATCCTTTTCTTAGTTTTGATCCACTAAAATAGCTTTTTCAGTCTGCGAAGAATTATCTAAGAGAGCTTCTCTGAGTTTTCCGTTTCATTTAATCCCCGTGCACATTGCTACAGAGTGCAAGATGCATTTATCAAGATATAACGCGACCAAAAGTACAATAAGTACCCAGGAACGTACGGGAAATGAATAGACGGGAATTCATTAAAATGGAAAACTCAGAGAAGCTCTATTAGGTGATCCTTTACACATTGAAAAAACAATTTTTGATATTTGTAACGCGCTATAATTGCATGAAAAAGAATTATAGTCGAAAGAACCATTTTTCTAGTAAGTATTACTATAAAGTCGACGATAATAATTTTACATGCATACTGCCACTACTATTTTTCGGTTCGAAACCATAAAAAGATACAGATAAGACCGAAAGTGAAATTAGAATTTTCGCGAGAAAATTCCTCTCCGCACTTTAATCGCGATTAAGAAGGTTAAATTCTCACAAGAGGGATGTTCTGAAAATGTCCGAAAGTTCACGGGTAAGTTGCTCCTGCGGGATCCTGCGTCTCTGAAAGCGACTTTATCACAGAGGCGGGAAAAGGGAGAGAAGGAAAAAAACATACTCGTTCTCACAACGTGAAATAATGTGTCGGGGGGAGGATTTTTACCGAGCTCGCTCGTTACCCGAGGCGGAATTACTCTAAAAGTAGGTAGCCACCGGCCGCGTACCCGCGCCGCCAATTACGCCGGGGCGACTACGACTATATAGAAGAGCCACGCCGACTCCGCCGGCTGATTTCTGCGAGTAGACTCGACGCGACCATCCGCGCACATCTCACCGTGCAACAGCCATGAGACTACCAGTGAGTGCTCGGGATATCCCGAACGAATTATCTCGATCAAACCACTCTATTGCGCATTGTATCCGAGCAGTGACAAGAAATATCCTCCTTCGGCGTGTAATATCGAGACGAAATTTCATCTCTTTTGACTTGAATGTGCGATCGTCACCGGTGAATTGTGCTCGTAGTTTGTCCCGAGTTCAAGTATTTCGCCGACGGTCATTTCAACGTACGCGATTGTATATACACGGGAGAAATTAGCCCGTCGAATCAATGATAGATATTTTCATATATGAGCAAGAATATTGTAATCTTGTTGGGAGATTTTTAGTCTTGAATTGATTGAACTTGTATTAAGTGCAAGTATTACTTGCACGCTGAATTCAAAACGAAAAATTTTCTAAGAATATTATAATATTCTCGTTTACATATGAGAATATCTGTCGTTTAAGATCATTTTCTTCTGTGCATATAATTCTGAATAATATATTCTCGCTGAGTTGGTATTACTTGAATTTTATCACTCGTTTAGTCGCGAGTGACTTTTTAACTTCACGCTTTAGCAAAGAATTTTTGAAAAAGATTTCCTCGCGAATCCTTATTTCTTTAATACTTGATATTTTTCAATATTTGATTCTGATTTGAATTTAAGTATTTACACGAATATTACTTAGAATTTAACGTTAATTATGCGCAATACGACATTGTCGGGGAGAGGATAACGTTACTACGGGATGAATTGTGCTCGTAACTTGTTTCAAGTCCAAATATTTCGCTGACGATCATTTCAATGTGATATTATATAATACGCGATTATATAATTCCGAATGATATATTCTTGCTTAGAAAGTGATACGACTTTATCGCACAATTAGTCGCGACTTAACTTCGCGTTCAAGGAATTTTTGAGAAAATTTCTTCGTGAATTTCTATCTCCTTAATATTCGATATCTTTCTAATATTTCATTCAATTCAAATACCTGCACTAGTAATATTTTAATATTTTTAATTTTAAATTAACCATGCGATACCGCATTATCGAGGGGGGGGGGGGAGAAAGAAANGATCAGGATTCGCTTATCGCAGATTCTCCTTGTCGCACTGCTGTCGACCGCGTGGGCGCAGACGAGGAACGCGGAGAGGCCGGCTCGCGCGCCTCAGGGGCAAGTCAAGTACGACGATGCCGACGGTGAGTGTGAAGTATTCCCTGTCCCTCGCGAGAAAGGTGCTTCGGAAACCTTGGCACCGCGATTAACCGGGCGTGTTACGGTCGCTACACACGCGACGGTAACTCCCGGACGTCCCTCTTCGCGGCGAACAATTCCTTTGTAAGATAACGGACGAAGGACGGGGCGTTGCGCAAGCGCCCGTTAATCGCCGGGTGGAGGAGCGTTAATCGGGTCAGTGACGAAGCGGTCTCTCTTTCCCTGGGCAGGCTCGAGGATCAACTGGAAGTACGTGGCGCCTCAGAATCAGTGGCGGTCGCACTTGGCGGGTGGGAACATACAGCGGTCTCAGCGTGGCGAGGATGGTTCGGTCCAACGGGCCCGGCAGGCCCAGCAGCGAGCTCCGCAGCACCCCCAGCAGCACCCCCAGCAGCACCCCCAACAGCAGCAGGACCATACGCACCATCTCCAGGCGATTCCGCAGGCGATCCAGAACCAGCAGTTCTACAAACCGTACTCGGAGGTGCCCGGTCACATCAGGCAGCTGATCGAGAAGACTTATCAGCCGCAGCCGCCCTACGTCGACCCCACGTCCTTCCTCTACAGCTCCAGCTTCGTCGCGCCGCAGCAACACGAGCAGCAACCGACGCACGCCGCCTCCGAGCTACCTCGTGCCGCCTACCTGCAGCCCTCGGCGAGATACCAGTCGATCGACCCGCGGAATCGGCCGCAGGCCTCCCAGCTGGAGTACAGCGACAGGAGGGTGGAGCGTCGGGACGGGGTCGTCTACAGGGACGATTACGAGCAGCAACAGCAGCAGCAGCAGGTAGCTGCGCCGCCGGCGGGAACCTTGCCGGAGCCGCCGTTGCCCACGATATACCTCGACCGGAACATGCCGAGCGAGCTGAAGCAGCTACTGCAATACCAGGCGCAGATACCGTACGACGTTACGGCGAATCGCATCCAGTACACGCCGAAGAGCCTCTTCATCCCGAAGCCGTTGTCCGACGACGCGAAGGGGCAGTATTATTATCGGAGCAAGGTCTACTACACGGACGACGAGAACGCCGATGCGGAATATCCGCAGAACAAGCCGGTCGATGAGGAACAGCGCCATTGATGGATACGACCATGTGTATTACCACGCGGTTTTTAATATAGATTAATAATAATCTTATTTACCGGTAAGCTTTTCCGAGAGAGAAGTAGAGAGAGAGAGAGACGGCTCTGGCTGGTTCACCTTCGGGACTCGCTCGAGCTGAACGCGATTTTCGCGAGAGCGGAAGTGGCCCTCAGCTCCCAAGCGTCATCACAGCGGCGCCGAGGCGAGCGTCTCGCGCGCCTTAAATTATTACAACGCTTGTTGACGTTACTTCAATGACGTTATATGATACTTCGTATTAGCGTGTACTTTTACGATAGGAGCGCGTTACTAGTTAAGGGAGTGCGGTTCGTTCGGAGGACACGGTCTGATCGGGGAAAATTGATCGAATGGAGAACCGATCGGAGATGTCAGGTAGAATTGTTGATGGGAATTGATGGGAGAATTGGAAGAACTGGAGGAATGACAAGAATTGTAATATAGGCGAATTAATAGATATTAATAGAATTTTGATATTGATAAATTTGTGGGGAGGGAGAAAGAAAGGGAGAAAGAGAAGTTGCGAGCCTGAGAGTTCTTTTCTCGATCAATTTTCTACTTCCGCCGAATTGCGTTCGACCAGTTTATCGTCCGGTATTAGATGGAATACCTGCGCGGTAGCGCGAAGGATGTACCTAATATTTTATACACAAAATAAATCGTTTCTGCTTCTCGCATTATGAGAGTCATTCACCTCACCGTCTCGCGCGAACTCTTATTATTTCAGTCCGGTGCTACCGGAACTTCCGACTATAAAAAGTAAGAGTTTAAGGAAACGCGATAAAGTCTACGGGCTAACGTAAGTTTACGCCTTTCAGGAAGTAGCCTTTCACATGACGCGTGATTTGGTTAATTACACGCGAGGATAGTTACCAAGTCTCAGGTTATTAGAGCAGGTGGAAAGTCAGACGGTTTTTCGCTTTCTATTGAATAAAGATATATCTGATGTACGAGACGTTAGAAAGTGATACTTTCAGCCCCGCGCCGGAGAGATCCGTGCGATCCGGAGTCGCGGGAAGAGGCATACCTTTCGCACGCGATACGGGCTGTAAATCGATCTGTATTCTGTGAAAAATTGCTCAGCGGACCGGGGACTGTGTACACTGAGAAAATTTCTACAAAAAACTTTCCCTCGCGTTCCCGCGAGATGAAAGGGGATACACGCTATACACATATATAGTGGTTCGTAACTTCGTAACGTTCATTAACGAACTGCATGCGCTTTCATTAGAAAGGAACTGGCTACTTATCGACCGCAGAGATAATTCAATGTACGACAGACATTAGAAAGCACAATCCGATCAAATAGATTTCATCATCGGCGCGTGACGATACAAGGTGAAGTGTTTATCATCGGACGAGGATCTTTAGCATCGTCGGTAAAACTCGAAGAAGCGTATCGCGTTACCGTGTCTCTCTTTTTTCCTCATAGACGGCAATAACCTCTCTCGAAACGACGAAAGTATTTCTCCGGATGAGGAAGACGGGGACGATCTACTTTCATGGCCTTCACGCTTCGCGTCTATCGATGCACTGTCGCGGCGTTGCAATTGTGCCAGCGTTCATTTCGCTGTCGACGGCACAACTTTCATTTTTACTGCTTACCGGTGCTTGCACAAATAGCTAATTCGCCTGCGGCACGCCTCTCAGGTTCACTGATCTTGCCCGAGGAAATCGTGGAAAATTACAGAGAGTAGCTGAGACTTCACAGGGTGACTCATGACAAACACGCGCAACGTCGAGAAATTAATTAACTTAGTTCCCACGAGGGAAAAAAGTTTGGAGTTTTGCTCGAAGCGTAGGAAAAATGTCGAAGTATAAAGAAGAACATGGAATATAAACGAAACGTTTATATAGAAATCCAAGGTTGAGTAATAATTAGTTATTCAATTAGAAGTTAAGTTAAAGAGTTAATAATTTTTAACTTAATTTAGTTAATTTTAAACGAGTTGACTTTTGATTTAAAATGCATTAACTTTAACTTATTGTATAACTTTTTTTATATAAATTAAAATAATTCATTAGTATTAAAATTATTCTACTTACAATATAAAATATGAAAAATTAAAAATAATATCAACAGAATTTTTGGACATTGGTGTTCTTTTCTTGCATAGAACAAAACCGGGCACAAAACAGTTTGTTATAATAGGCCACCTTTTCTTTATTTAGTATAAATTTAATTTACGATTAAAAAGTTAATTATGCAAAAAAATATATTTGTATAATTAACTTTTAGTAAGTTAGTTTGATAATAACTTTTAATTAAGTTAGTTTTGGTGTAAATAACTTTTTAACTTGACTAAATCAATTTTATGGGAAATTGTAACTTTTACTTTTCAACTTAGTTAAAAATAAAAATTAGCTTACCCAATCCTGCGGAAATCTAAGAACTACGATAAATAGTATCGATTAAATTACTAATCGTTTTTCATTTAAATAAGATATTTATTTAACAGTAATATTGATTTATCTCTGCTTAAAATTAGACGTACATCTTAGCATTCTCTTTCGAAAATGGTCACCTGAAAAGTCAGCTCGCGAAACAACGCGAGTTCTTCGTGAATCACCCTGTACACGTCGTACACATCGTTCGTTTTTATTCATTGGATATTACCGCTTCTTATAGCGAGTTGTATCGTAGGGATTGTTTTCACATGTCGACGTAAGCTTTGGGATAATCTGCAATTTCACAGATCGGTCATCTATCTGCGATATAATGCGACACGGTGTAATTTTCTATGGTAAAATGACGTAATGACATTTCCATTTGTTAGTAATGGACAGTGCAGTTTGCAGTCGAATAATCGAATAAAGCAAAGGTCCATTCCCATGATCCGTACGTATCTAGAAGGGGGGATTTATAAAATCAAGAGCTTGTAAGTTTAATCATCTGGAGCATTAGAGATTCAATACGGGACAGAAATTATAAGCCTGTTGCAAAATTAGAAATTCGTAATTTCTCGTCAAATCGTAATTTCTCGTCAAATCGAGAATGTAGCGTCACACTGAAAAGTATCATTATTCAAGTAATATTTACTTGATCCAAGTAAAATGGTATTATTCCAATACTTTTTGATAAATATTTATTAAAGTAAAAATATAACTAACTATATACAATATGATATTTTCTCCGTACAAGTAAACATTTACTTGAAAGTGTTAAAACAAGTTGCGACAAGGATTAAATTGATAATATTGAGAATATCAGAATTAATTTTTATAAAATATTTATTGGACAGCAAAATTTAAACTTAAAACCATTGCTAGGTTTCTTTAATACAAAAGAAATATTACATAATTCTAATAATTCTAATAAATACTTTCTTAAATTTAGGATTATGGGTTATATTTAGGATTATATTTAAGAAAATTAGGATCATTTTATACATACAATCAATAATCCATTTATAAATTAAGATATTACTTCGTTTAGATGGACATTTACTGCAAGTTATAAAAATATATTTAAATTGAGAAAAATATTAATTGATTTAAGGGGCTGAAAATTAATTATTAATTAAATATATTAATAAATTAAAAGGTAATTACGTTTATTTAATTCTAGAACTTTTTTCTGTATAAATATAATATAGGTATGGAATATTTTTCTTCACGCATTTTTTTTAACGCATTTTTTCATATTTTTTTTATCTCCCCTGGCGGACGATTTCATCATATAGTAATACCTGACCTCCCACTCGGTAAGTGGAGTTTTGGTCCTTTTATCATAGTACTGTTTGTATTTTATTTTTCTTCTTTTAGATTTTCCTTTTGTAAGATGGGTATCTCTGGAGAGGGACAAAAATAACAATAAATAAAACGGTAATCACTTCCTGATCATTTTTTGCGAATTTTTATTATCTTAGAAATACAAATTAACATTATAAAAGAATAATAGTCAAACCACCGGAGAGAGAAAAAAAGATATGTGGGGGGGGNCGGCGCCCGCCGCGGAGCTCGGAGTCTCGACAAGAAGGCTAAAGAAACAAACGGAGAATCGATTAATAAATTGATAATGGGATCGCACCGTCTTGTCTCTCCGGTCATTCGGATACCGAGAGCGCGATAGTATCCGAAACACCCAGGTCAAGCATTTAATCGAAGGAAGAAAGAATTCGTCTTCGCGGTCACCATTCTCCTCGGAGTCTCATCACGATCTGAAGTGGGAAAGAAGCGCACACTCAGACCATGGCGGGCAGTCGGAGATTGCCAAAGGAGGGCGCACGAGGCAATTACTCGACATGTCCCAGCCCAGAATTCACGGCCATGTGGATCTAACATTGAGGGATGCAATTGTCAGGGAAGAAAACGCACGGTGTCTTCTCCAGCTACTGGATAAGGCCGTGAACTAATGAGACTCGCCGGGAAAGTGCACGAGTCCAGCCAGGCACCAAAGAAAACCACTGAGCTCAACCAATGCTAAAGGGATTAACGCACGATGGCACGTGTGGACGAAACTCAAGAGACACCGAGCACTGTTCTTGATCTCACAACACATCGAAAATACAACCAATGCTTGACCCGGTTACGGTGAGATTAAATCAGTGAAAAATGTAATTGGGACTCACCAACCTGCCAGCACGGCCGACGAGGGAATATTGACCTCCATCGCGCCATCGCTCGCCGGGTCGAATCTCCCCCACCACCTTCTCTCTCAAGGCGAGGTACGTGCGCTTACAATATCTTACCGTTCCCGATTATTATTATTATTGTCGATACCAAGATCCCCCACTGGGATCCGCTTACGCGAGTCCCCGACCACGGCACCGATTGTGTGAACAAAAATACCAGGACTTTATCTTACACTTTGCTATTTGATTGGTCGCGCGTATCCGTTCCTTAAGTTCAGAGACATAATCGTCTATTGAGTATGAAGGCTTTGGTAATTGCATTAAAGCTGAGGGCAAGTTTGCTTTACGTCCGTACACGAATTCGAACGGGGTGTATCCCGTGCTCGTGTGCGGTGTTGTGTTATAAGTAAATATTGCGTAGGGTATCCATTCGTTCCAATTGGTTTGTTCTGAGTTAATATAGTGTAGACACTCAGCCAGCGTGCGGTGCGATCTTTCTAGCGCGTCGTTACTTTGAGGGTGATATGCCGTGGTCTGAATTTTGTCGATTCTTAATAATTTGCATATATTTTTAAATATATTATTTAAAAAATTGGTGCCTTGATCCGTTAGTATTTTGGAAAGTATTCCATATTCTAAAATTATTTTAGTGACGAATTCGTGGGCGATAATGATGGCTTCTTGGTTTTCTATAGGTATAGCCTTGCTGAATTTGATTAAATTGTCTTGAAAAGTCAAGAGATATTTGTTGCCGCTCATTGTTAGTGAGCCTGCGATGTCCAAAGCATATTTTTCAAAAGAATAATCGGGAGTACCAGTGAGTATTAGCGGAGCAGTTTGTTTCCCAATTAATTTATTTTTTGGCATTTCTCGCATTGGGAAATATAGTTCCTAATTATAATAAATAATTGAGAAGAAGAAGAAGAAGAAACGCATTTGATGGGTTGAAAGATTACACAATCTTAATTAATTGATGTAGTACTTTCAATAAATGTAATTAAATATGTATTAATAATATGTAGATATTATAATGATTGTTGTAAAAACTAATTGGACAAATTAATTTATTAATCAACTTGTATATGGATACTGTAAATGTAGGAGCAATAGAAGGTTTTCTTGCAATAACTATACCTCAAATAGTTTTTGAAGATTCTTCATCCTCTGATGATGAATACAAGGATTTTGTATCAACATTATTTGTAAATTAACATGAGGAACTTTTAATTTTTTATTCCTATATAGTTAACAATTGCTAAATTTTTATATTTTTTTACATGATATGAAGTCTCTAACAATTGGCCACATTTCATTTATAAAGTCAATTTCAATTAATGACATTTTTTAAATATATTATTGTTTAGTATTATGGTTTCTGCCGACAGGACGCGGCAACGCTTGCCGCGCAGCGGAAGTTTGCGTGGTAGCCAATCAACATCGCGTTTTTCGGTAAGAGCTAGAAGTTTATTGGCTATCGCACCATTTCTTGCCGAGTGGTATGCGTTGCCGTGTCCTGTGGACAAAAGCCATTACTTTTTGTAGAGTTGTAGTACTTAAGCGCATACTTTGGCATAAAGCATTTATGTATGCATTGACATGACGCAAAAGATAACAAACCAATCAAAGTTCTATATTTTTATCCTCACAATGAAAACGAAGGATTCTGATTGGCTTCTTATGCGTCATGCATTATGTGCTATGCTGAAGTGTGTGCTTTCCGCTTTAAACAAATATTTATGATTACCTTACGCTCCTTCAATAATACCGAAGAATTAATACTGGGTCCAATTTCAAACATACAATCCGTTAGCCAATAGAAGAATGTGTTTTCTAAAAACATTATTGTTCCTAGCTAGTAACTTTAAAAAGTGAAATCTTGATGCAACCACGAGATGCATTCAACTGTTGTGAATAAAAGAACACACCTCAAGTGATGAGTAAAAGGATAGGCGCGAAACCTCAAAGTTTCAGCATATCGCATATTTATAGTGAATTACGGAAGTATCTTATAGTTTAAAATAAGTGTAGTGAATGATATCTGCATGAATTCGACGATTACAGTTGAAGATTTCGAGGAAACAGTCGATCTAAGCTCGAGTTTAGATGACAGCGAAATCACTTGCCTCGATGATAGTCCGCTGGTTTATAAATCGGGAAACATCGATAGACGTTTCTCTTCTGATCATATCGATGCTAATAACGAAGTCGTTGACATGACCAAGACAGCTATTGACGCGGAAGATCCTTCGTCATTGCAACCTGATCTCACATCGCAACCTATTTTTAAGGTTATGTTCCGTGATGAGAGTGTCTCACGGTATGATTCCGATACATCACACATTATACATTTTTCAAGTCATGCCGGCTAAAATATTTAATTTAAAAACTTCTGGAAGAAGAGTAATCTGTTAGTTACAGGAATAAGGTTTTTGCAATTTATATTATATATACATATTTTTGTGATATAAGATTTTTGTAATATATATATATATATATAATATGCACCACAAAAACTTTATTCCTGTGACATAATAGATTACTCTTCTTCCAAAAGAATTTTAAAATTAAATATATATATATATATACACACAAATTCACAGGAATAAATTTTCTTAATAAGAATAAAAAGTTGTACTTATAATCTTGTTCTTGCACATCAAAATTTCAAGTTACTAAAAGTAAGGTAATATAATTTATGATTTTACCTTTTATGATATCTAATACAAAATAACAAAATATGATAGTGGTTATTTATTACAAAATAAGTATTAGATAAATTAAGTCATTATAATATGTTATAATTTAGGTTAAATTATATATAAGTTAAAATGGAATGTTAAATTATTAAATTATATACAAATTATCTTTTGTTTTCAGACAATATCGACAAAAAATAAGAAATTTCTTATATACTTTAGTGCAGTCAAAATTTTCCTGCGAGGAAAATGTGGAAACGTCAAATTTGATATTAGAAATTTGGGATAACAAAAATCCTCAAAATAAATTGTCCATTAATACTGAGAACGATATTATGCCATTATGTGTTTCTCCTAATGATCATAATACAAAAAGTAGTGGTGTTACAAGTGATTTATTATTCATAATCGATACTCAACCTAAATCAACAAGTGATTTCGATGTTCCCACATATGGAAAGGTTTGTTGGTTTCTTTTTATTTCGTAGTAATTAATTTTAGTAAGTTATACAAGATGAAGCAATAACTATTACTACCTTAAAACATTTTCAACAAATAAAAATGCTTAAAACTTATTAACGACTAGTCAAAGATGAAAAAAATTTGCATTTACAGAGGATATTTGAAGCGATGATCATGAATATCAATGTAATTTTTATAAGATACATTTTTTCTCCTATTCTCATATTTAAGAAAGATGTACAAAGTGATAATGGTTATTGTCTGATCATACACACACACAAATCTAAATATACAGATATTAGATATGAAAGTTCTAGTCCTCTTTTGCAAGCTAGTCCTCCTTTGCAAGCTAGTCTTCTTTCAGTTGCAAGAAAGTTCGTCTTCTTTCAGCTTTATTTTCATATAGTCTAAAGATTGAAATTTGTGTATACACTTAATGTGTATGCGTCTGTAAGTTAATAATTAATATATCTTACTTTTGAGGGAAATATAAATTTTATTTTTCTTTTATATTTATTATTTTTATAAGCAACATTATATTACTTCAGAAATATGAGAATACATTCGAGGAATCAGATTCTGAGACGTCAAAAGATCAAGCACCAAAAATGAGTTGTTTTAATTGTGAAGGTAATCACAATCTACGAGATTGTCAATTACCTAGAAATCAAGCAAACATTAATAAAAATCGCAAAGATTTTAATGTCAGATATACGAAGTCAGGAGTCCGTTATCATTTAAATGAGGAGCAAAAATTTAGTCATATGATTCCTGGTCAGTTGAGTCAAAAGCTACGTGCAGCATTAGGACTAAAAGACAACGAACTACCTAAGCATATTTACAGGTATATCAATTGTATAATCCATTAGATTTTGCAAAGTTATTCCAATAAATATTTACTTTTAGAAGAATATCTCAGAATGACTTTGATTCTGAAATTTATTATCAAAATCATGCTCTTAAACAACCTCCATTATAAGGAAGCCAGCGACAATTGTTTTAACAAAAGTTTTAAACAAAGTAATGATACACTCAAATATATGAAGAAATCAAAATTTATTATTCATTTACTTATTATTCAATCATTTATTTATTAGTTATAAACAAACTTAACAAATCAACGTTATAAACAAAATAATAATATGCACAGAAATATAGAAAATCAGCGTTTATTATTTGTTTTCAACAATTTCTTATATAGGATATAATTGAGCCATTATATTAAAAAAAATTGTTCATCCGAACAATGTAATCTTTAAAAAGAAATTCAGCAATATAATGATTATAATGTTCAATTTATGTTCGTTTGTGTTAGGATTATCTGTAATATAGGATCAACAAAATTTTTATTATAGTTAACTTTTTGATGGCAATAATTTTCATATTAAGCGCTATAAGCCATCAAATCCATGCTATGTATAATTCCGGCAATATATGCTTTTTTATTATAGGCAAAAGTGTCCTTATTGTTCTGTCAAGTACCGGATATGTAAATATACGTTTAAAATGTTTTTCCGCAGCTCCAAATATCCCTTGCACTATTCTTATGTGATTATATTTCCTTTTCCCTATTTTTGCCTCGTCAATTTCGACAATTATTTCAGACCACTAATTTGCATATTATTCTGGTGCCATTATAAATATAATAACTAAAAAACAATAATATATAATTTTGTTATAATTAATGATTATATATTAATTTTATATTTGTACAATGTGCCTCATAACAAAAGTTAGTCTAATCGACTGACTTGCTGCTCATTTGTAACTGATATTGAATAAATTGTTTGTAACCGATATTGAATAAATATTTTCTTGCTGGACGCATCATAAGTAAATAAGAAATAAAACGAACAATTTTTACAAGTCCTGCAGTAGCTTGAGAAAACCATGTACCAGATAATACAACGA